CTTGGGTGGAAAAATTCATGCATCTTCAAACTGAATAATGTCCTAGGGTTCTAAGGATTTTAAATAAAGAAAATCCATGGGACTAGTATTGTAGCTTAGCAGTGTAAGCTGCAGCCTGCAACATGGGCATCCCATGTGGGCTCCAGTTCAACACCTGGCTGCACCATTTCCAATCCAGCTCCCACTAATGCACCTGGGAAAGCAGCAGAAGATGGTCCAAGTGCTTGCACCCTTGCACCCACCTGGGAGACACAGAAGAAGCTCTGGGCTCCTGGCTTTGGCCTAGCCAAGCCCCAGCTGTTGAAGCCATTTGAGGAGTGAACCAGTGGATAGAAAATCTATCTTTCTCTCTCTTTCCCTCCCTCCCTCTCTCTCTCCTCCCTCTCTCCCCCCTCTCTCCTGCCACCCCCCCCCATAATTCTGCCTTTCAAATAAATAAAAAGATAAATCTTTTTTTTAAAAAAAGAGCAGAGACTACATGGATTATTTAAACAAAGAAAAGAAGAAAATCCACACATTGATATATAATATTGTAATGGACAACAAAAAAGTTAGGATTAAAAATATCTAAACCAAGTAGAGTGAAAAAGGATTATCTTCAAAGGAATAAAGGCTTACAGCAGAAGTCTCACCAACAACAGTAAATCCCACAAGACAATTAAATTTTTATTAGTCTTTCCGAGCTGCCATTAAAAAAAAATACCATGGACTGCAGGGCTTAAACAAGAACACATTTGTTTTCTTACAGTTTTGGAAACTAGAAGTCCATCATCAAATTTCCAGCAAATCTGGTTGGCAGTGAGGGTTTTCGTCCCACACTGGAGGTGGCTGCCTTCTAACTATGTCCTCTCATGGCCTCTCTCTTCTCCATGCCCACACTCAGGCAGCTCTGACAGCTCCTGCTCTTCTCATGGGGACTCCAGGCCTACAGGATAAGGGCCTCACCCTTAACCTTAATTATGTCCCTGAAAGGATTATGTCCAAACATGAGGTTAGTGCCTCAACATATAAATTTTAGATGGCCACAATCCAGTCTATAACAGAATAACATCTTTGAAATGATCAGAGAAAAAGAACCGTCAGCTGGAATTCTGTACCCAGCTAAACTATACTTATCCTTCCAAAATAACATCAAAGTGAAGATTTTCTAAAGTGAGAAAGTTTCTACATCTACACCAATGAAAGAACTACAAAACTAACAGTGGACTTAGCAGAAATCAAAACTGGAACAGTGAATGGAAGTCCCAATAAATTAACTAAATGGGTTTTTTAAAGTCATTCATATCTTTATTGCACACAATCTTATGTGCACTCTTCCATCCAACTGGGGATGCAGAATTAAAAAGCCATGCTCTGTTACATGTATGTAAGCAGTAGTAAGCACGTGCACACACACACACACACACACACACCAGAAAAAAGGACAGGGAGTGAGGGTCAACATTGTATTTCATGTTTTTAAATCTAAATAAGTAATAAGAATGTAGAACACAGTAATAAGTGAGAATGGTGAGACTTTAAAAACTTGGAGAATAAAAAACACACAGACCCTCTGAATCAGACAGGATTACACAGGCTCAGGAATCACTGCAAGGGACTCAGAGCCGAGCTCCCAGGATCTTTTCCTCTTTCCCTCCTGTCACCCCCAGCAGGGCAGCTATCAGTCTACCAGATGACTGATAAGAGGGATGATGACTGGAGTCCATACATCTTCTGCAGACTCAACAGAATCTAGCGGGAAAAGCAGAAACATCTCTTACTTGTTTCCCTTCTTAGGAGCAAAGAAACTTTCCCTGGATGCGTCTTAGAATACACTCCCTTGTATTCACTGGTCCAAACAGTGTCACACACCCGAGTCTAAAGCTGAACCAGGCAAGGGGAAAAGGATTCCAATATTGGTTTTCAGACACTCCTGACACCAGGTACCTCTGGAGCTGGGAACTGGTAACAGAGAAGGCAAAACATCTAGACAAAAATCACAGTTTCTCCAGCAAGCAAGAAAGAAGTGCCCACCGTGAAGACCTTACTGTTTGTCCCATTTGTCACCTACTTAAACCTCACTACAGGGCTGACAACATGGCACTATGCTAACACCTCCACACAATGGGGAAGAATCCTATGGTGGAATAATTTTTAAAGAACCTGATGTTGGGGCAGGTGCTATGGCTCACTTGGCTAATCCTCCGCCTGTGGCGCCGGCACACTGGGTTTTAGTCCCGGTTGCTCCTCTTCCTGTCCAGCTCTATGCTGTGGGCCCGGAAGGCAGTGGAGGATGGCCCAACTGCTTGGGCACTGCACCCGCATGGGAGACCAGGAGGAAGCTCCTGGCTCCTGGCTTCGGATTGGCACAGCACGATCTGAATTATTTATAAATAAATAAATAATAAATAATAAAAAAGAACCTGATGTTAATCTAACCCATTACTTGTGCTCATGCTTGTTAAGAGATCTGTATCTCTATTTCACTAATTCTATAACCAAATTCTAAGAACAACAGGACCATCCAATGTCCCTCAAATCAATGCCTGAAAATGATGGATGTGAAAACTTGCATACAGTAACTCAAACCACAGTCGATTTATGCAAGTATTTAAACTTCCCAGATGCCCCAATAAAAACTCTCTCCCTCTTCAAGTGATATCCCACCTCCAGATTAGCTCAGATGCCAAAGAAATGAGCCTTTTGCTAACTACCAATTCCAAATTATTTCATCATTAGGAGATCAAAGGGAGGGTGTGGAAATGACTGGCTAAAATGGATTAAATGCATTCAGTTCTACAATGAGAAACTAAAGTTATGATAATGGAATTTTAGATCCAAAAGGGACTTCTCAGAGAGTATTTAGTATGACTCCCACATTTTACAGATGAGACTTGGTACAAGTCAGCGGCACCAGGGCTGGCAATATGACAAAGGAGACCTTTTAAATATCTCTATTATCACATGTCCAGGGAATGAGAGAGTATACATCAGTTCAATTGTTCTCAGCACACATGGTGAGCTGCACACCCAAATTCTACATCTAATTTCAGGTTCTCCCTGTACCCTCTGAAGCTCATACAATAACTCTGTGATTAAAAATCCCACCATTAGACATCATTAATCTATTCAGGACAGATTAATACATCAAGGTTATGATTGTTCTTTTAAAAAAATCTATTTATTTTTATTTATTGGAAAGGCAGAGTGACAGACAGAGAGGGAAAGGCTAAGAAAGAGAGAGATCTTCCATCTACTGGTTCACTCTCCAAATGGCCCCAACAGCCAGGTGTGGTCCAGGCCGAAGCCAGGAGCCAGAAACTCCATTCTGGTCTCTCACTGGGTGACAGGGGCCCAAGCACTTGAACCATCTTCTGCTGCTTTCCCAGGACACCATCAGGAGGCTGGATAGGAAGCAAAGCTGCCAGGACTCAAACCAGCACTCCAACTTGGGATGCAGGCATGACAGGCTGAGGCTTAACCTGCTGGCCACAATGCAGGCCCTAAGGTTACAATCTCTCACAAGTTCATTCAGATGTAAGAAATCATATTATGTTAGGTCATCCCTGCTCAATCCTATTGTATCTTAGCATAAGTTCAAGAAATTCTGTCCCTTTTAAAAGCACCTCAAGAAAATAAGAATAGTGATCCCATAATGCAAAGTTAAACAAGAGGAGCCTCTGCCATCTCCTGTGTCTACCCACTGTCTGCAGGCCCGAAGGACTCCTAGCAGGAAGTCAGCTCTCAGTAAAGGTATTTAGGTAAATACATCAGCTAGCACTTTTTAAAAAATATTTACTTATTTATTTATTTGAAATACAGAGTTACAGAGAAAGAGGGAGAGAGAGAGAGAAGGAAAGAGATCTGCTGGTTCTCTCCTCAAATGTCCACAACAGCCAGGACTGGGCCAGGCCAAACCAAGAGCTTCATCTGAGTCTCCCATGTGGGTACATGGACTCAAGCACTTGGACCAACTTCCTCTGCTTTTCCAGGTGCATTAGCAGGAGCTGGATTGGAAATGGAACATCAGGGACTCAAATAAGCATCCATAAGGGATGCCTGAATTGTATGCAGCAGCTTAACCCAGCTTAACAACATGACCCCAGCACAGTACTTTGCACCTGTCGAGATACTTTCTAAATGACTTTCTCAAACAAAAATAGGGGAAGCATTAAGCCCTTGACTATGACGTAAACTGAAAATACGTCACCTCAAAAATAAGTTTAAATAAATGAATAATAAACAATTATATCAAGCCCACAATCCCCTCTGATCTAGGAAGCATTGGTTTGACTGTTATTCTCATTTAATGGGTGAGCAAACAAACCAGCTCAGTGACTTGCCCAGGGGCACGTGTTTAATGAGGAACAAAAGGAGGACCAATGTCTCGGTTTACTTTTGGTGTTCCAGCTTTGACACCAGTAGTATTCAACTGTATTTCTTTTTTCAGCTGGATGTAGCCCCACAGATGTGAGCTTTTGTTAATACGCTGTGTACCTTGCAAAGCAAAGCAGAGCTCTCTTGTGGATTCTCCGTTCACTTTGAATTATCTATGCTGCTTCACTCCACTAGCCTGGAGAATAGCATTGGCCATGCCTTCCATAAAACCGCCTCCACACACATGAGCTATCCCATCAGCCAAGGCATAAAAATGAGGTTTACCACGAGCTAGCTGACCACAGCTCACCTCCACAGTCTCTGAGTAATCCAGAGTCACTTTCCCATCACCTCGATCTGATCTGTGCTAAAACTAATCCCTTCCTCTGGGCATAATCAGATGGAGAGAACAACAGCGGTGTGATGTGTCGACAGGCACGCCACCAACTTGGATCACTTTCCGGCTCATTTTTGCTGGGTAAATAATACCTTGAAATGTAGCACCTGCTAAGTGAAATGAAAATGGGAAATGTTTTAAAGGATTTTTTTGCTTAATGTCTTTATACTACTGTAAATGTATGAAAATTTTATATCCGGGTTTTTATTACTGTTGATTGCTAAACTGACAAGGGAAAATAATCCAAGCTGGCACATTAATGAAACATGATTTTTTTTCTACATTCTTTTTTTTTTTTTAAGCACAGAGCTAAACACAATTAAATGGTAAAAGTGACTCCGACTTTTAACTCTTTAGGGTCTGAATAGTAGATACTGGGTTTATTTACATGCTTTCTTAGCCACACCCCTTATATAAAATATTTTCCTCTGACCCAGCGGTATGGCCAAACCCAGGGTCTCCAGGTTTGACAGCCCCCCCACCGAAGACCACCACTTTGTCACTTTGCATGCCGATCCATTCTAGAGAACTGTGACAAAACAGAGAAAGGGAACACAGGAAAAGAGCACCCAAAAAAGTAGGCACCTGCGAGGAGGGGCCCCGCAGCGAACACACACCCTAGGCATCGATCAAAGTCTCCGAGGTGGGCGTGGCTCCACAGCAACGATGAAGAGCAGCTCAGCGCCCTTCCAACAGCGCTCGCTCTCCCAGATACTCATCAAAGAGCCCTCGGAAAGCCTGCGTTCATCCCAGAGGTGGTGTCAGTGGCAGCACTCGTCACACCTGCCAGAGAACAGCACACAGCAGCTGGACAGACCCCAGTGAATCATGGGTCGTGGGCTGCACTCTCCCAGGAAGCCAACTAAGCAATTTCTGCTGTTTCCAAGCCCACTGAAAAGAACTGAAACTCGCAAGTGATGAAGTGCCTTAACTGTGTCATCTTAAAGCATTTCATTACCATAACCAATACCAAAAGGCTGGGAGAAGCCCAGTACAGCTATGATACTTTCCACACCACTTCTCCTTCATCAGCAGATCCTACGCGGATTCTCGCCTACCCAAGGCAAGCTAGTGTAGGGGAGAGGCAGCCCTGATCCCTAGTCCACTACAGCTCCTACTCACCACTTGTTTCCCTGTTTCTAACTAACAGGAAAGGAGAAATGTGGTTAAGTCAATGGTATTTCATGGATTTGTCCTAACATTTAATTTTGCAAACTCAACCTGTATTTGCTAAGTACCTACTGAAAACCCACGCCTATACAAGATGCTGGGATGATACCGAAAGAAACAGAGTAAGTCCTACAGCCCTCAGAAAACTGGGTTCTGGACCAGGAGGCAAAACTGACACTAACAGCAGTCACTGCACAGGATTTATGAACACACACTACGGGCAAAGCATGGTGCTCAATGTCTTCAGAAAAACTAAGGTAACTCAGCCATTCCCCTCCTCCAGGAGACTTTAACTGAGCCAAGCTGGGCTTGAAAAACCTCAAAGACCACCCAGCAGCTTGCACACTCAGCCACACCCTGGCCAGCAGGCTCCTGCTGGATTCTCCCAAAAAAGATTCCAACTTGTCTGCTTGCAGTGTAACATGTAGCACCTAGAACTGAACAGACAAAACTTAATGCTTTCCTCAGACATCAGCCCTATGGCAGTACTTTCTTCAAGAGTTATCCACAAGCCCAAGTACAAGTGTAATGTTCTTCAATTTCATGTCTTCTGATTTGCACCATATTCCAGAACACTTCAACAGTATTGTGGAAAATGAGATTTTAAAATAAGCTAAGATTAATTAAGTTTAATAAGATTAAAAAATAAGGCTGACACAGTGAGTGCTACAACAGCTTAAGCCATCGACTGTAATGCTGGCATGCCATATGAGCACTGGTTCTCTACTAAATGCACCTGGGAAAAACAGTAGTGGGTGGCCCAAGTGTTTGGGCCTCAGCACCCATGTGGGAGATCGGAAAGAAGCTCCTTGCTCCTGGCTTCAGCCTGGCCCAGCCCTAGCCAGGTAGCCAATTGGGGAGTGAACCAGTGGATGCAAGATCTCCCCACCAACCCTGTCTGTCTCTTGTGTCTACAACTCTGACTTTTAAGTAAATAAATAAATCTGTAAAAATAATAATAAAATTAAGCTTCTTAGGGCTGGCGTTTTGCTGTAGCAGGTTAAGCAGCCTCTTGCAACACCAGCATCCTGTATGGGCATAGGCCCAAGTCCTGGCTGCTCCACTTCCAACCCAGATCCATGCTCATAACACCTGGGAAAGCAGCAGAGGATAGCCCAAGTACTTGGGCCCCTGTAACCCAGTAAATTCATTATGGTGCAATTTTTTTAAATGTTTGAAATTCAAAATTTTTCAAATTCAAAAAATACACGCAAAACACACAGATTGCAAATTTTCTTTCCTCTAAAATAAACATATTTTAATTTCATTTTCACCAACTTTTTGTTAAAGGTTTATTTTATTTGAGAAAAGACAGAGAAAGAAAGATTGATCTTCCATCTGCCAGTAGTTTCATCTGCGTCTCCCACATGGGTGGCAGTGGCTCAAACATGTGGACCATCTTCTGCTGCTTTCCCAGGTGCGTTAGCAGGAAGCTGGATGGAAAGTGGAGCAGCTGGGACTCAAACTGGCACCCATATGGGATGCCAGTATCACAGACAATGGCTCTACCCACTGCGCCACAGCACCAGCCTCTTCATGAACTTTGTGATGTACCCGCATATCCTAGAAGATAAAGTACTGCAGAAGCATGATTCTATCAGCTGATTCTGTTGTCCTTCCCCAAAGCTGCCATCCACAAACTTGATATGTGTGCTCTCTGTATCTTCACCTAAGGAACCAGGAAATATTTTTTTACCAAGAATCAGGCACAAAATGAAGTTCTTTGGAAAAATCACAAGAAATCACTGACAGAGCTCCATTTAGGTGCTCTCTTTTGATAGAGTTTTTTGGCACAAATCCAGTCTCAAAAAGCCTTTCTGGGCTTCAAATGCCTGGTGTTTGTTACATTTCTCTTATCTCTTAAGAAAAAAAAAAGGGTAGATCATAAGGCCTAATCTATTTGCAATGAACTCACCCTAGCCGATTCACTGTCTATCCTGTAATAATCTGTATTAGATTCTCATTCCAAATTCCAAAGGTTATCTTTATTTAGTAGGGAAATACCAATGAGAGCAAATGTTGGACCAAGCACTGGGCATTAGAAGAATACAGAGAAAGCTGCTGCAGAAAGTGATTGGGCCTGAGTATGTGTGGGGAGCAGGGCCTATCTCCCGCAACATGGCGAAATATGTACTGAGACTACCGAGACTAGACTAGACCATGATACTATTACGACTAACTCTATGCATCTGCTCTCCCATCATATGGCGCTGAGAGAGAGTGGGCAAACCTTACACAGCTGCTTCGTTAATTAGCTGATTCCTGACCCAACCCCTTAAAAGGGGGAGAGAGACAACATGCGCGGCCGTGCCCCGCTGAGAGAGTCGGTCAGAGAGCTGGCCGGTGCCGCTCCTCCACGAAAGTGGGGGAGCGGCAGGGGCACCGCTTCTCCACGGAGGCGGGGGAGCGGCAGCAAATCCGGGAAGGGCCGGGGAAAGAAAACAGCGTCCGGAGTCGTTCCTCCGCGAGTGGGGGAGCGACAAGTATGGAAGGCCTTGAAGCCTACACTGAAGAAATCAGACTCTATAGAAACACTCAATGTTTTGTGATGGGAATGTCTAAGACAAAGACCATGTAACAGTGAAGGATGTGGGGCAGCAGTAGACAGTGGGTATAACTACAAAGATGAAGCCTTTATGACGTTCAGGACAAAGAGTAAACCAACTGGAATGAATAGCAACTGAGAAAATCAGAACACAAGACAGGCATGGAGGTACAACCTGGTGATGGGCTCGACAGGGAAGGAAACACAGGAAGTGGAGGATGCAGAGGGCCCACAGGGATGTCAGTCGCTAATGTGAGGAAGGCCAGAGAACGAGACGGGTTTCGGAGAACAGGAAAGCTGAGAGCTAAGTCGGTGTGGACAACACGTTTGTGAGATTTCAGAGGGGTGGCCGAGGGAGAGCTCTCTAGAAGGCAACTGGAACAGTGGAATCAAACCTTAGGAGAAAGAGAAGGTAGGGCAAGACACAAACTTGTAGAAATGTCCGTATTTTGGAGTCTAGCGCTGACAGGAGGACAAGAGCCCAGAAAAGGAACCAGAGAAGGGAACAGCCAGCGAAGTGTGATGAAGAACGTGACAGCTGTGTTAGAGAAGCCAAATAAAGAGAAGCTTGGAAGAAGACTGCATCAAACAGCAGAGCAGTTAAGGAGAGGGAGAGTGAGAACTGGCCATTAGGCGTTGTGCTGAGAAGGCCTGCAAAAATGCCTTAGTAGCACCTTAGTAGCACCTCTCAGACCTCGACGTACCATCAATCACTTGGGGATCTTGTTAAAAATGAGGGCTGTCGGCTCACTAGGCTAATCCTCCGCCTTGCGGCGCCGGCACACCGGGTTCTAGTCCCGGTCAAGGCACTGGATTCTGTCCCGGTTGCTCCTCTTCCAGGCCAGCTCTCTGCTGTGGCCCGGGAGTGCAGTGGAGGATGGCCCAAGTGCTTGGGCCCTGCACCCCATGGGAGACCAGGAGAAGCACCTGGCTCCTGCCATCGGATCAGTGTGGTGCGCCAGCCGCAACGCTCTGGCCACGGCGGCCATTGGAGGGTGAACCAATGGCAAAGGAAGACCTTTCTCTCTGTCTCTCTCTCTCACTGTCCACTCTGCCTGTCAAAAAAAAAATGAGGGCTGTGACTCAGTAAGTCTGGGTTGGGGCCCACAGTCCAGCAATTCCAACAAGCTCCCAAGAGATGCCCTCGCTGCCGGTCCATCAACACAACTCAGAGACTGCGGGGTGAGCAGCCTGGCAGTATGTGGACACAGTGAGTGACAATGAATCTTTCAGGAAGTGGAGTGGGGAGGAGGACAGAGCACACAGGCTGGGCGTGCCATGGGAATTAGCAATCACAGCAATAAGGAATCAGTGCTGTTGGTAAAGAAGTCACTGGCCTGGCACTCACCTTTGATAAATGTGTTAAGGAAATCCAGAATGTGATTCACCTCTACCTTTTATCTTACCCGACTTCAGTGACTTAAACTTTAAAACTAAGTAGGAAGTGCAAAGTTTGACACCGAGGGTGACCAAACAAAATGAGCGTTCTCCTCCATAATCATACTCACTGGTAAAACATGCCTCTAGGCCGGCACCGCAGCTCACTAGGTTAATCCTCCACCTTGCAGCACCGGCACACTGGGTTCTAGTCCCGATCAAGGCACTGGATTCTGTCCCGGTTGCTCCTCTTCCAGGCCAGCTCTCTGCTGTGGCCAGGGAGTGCAGTGGAGGATGGCCCAAGTACTTGGGCCCTGCACCCCATGGGAGACCAGGAGAAGCACCTGGCTCCTGCCTTCGGATCAGTGCGGTGAGCCGGCCACAGCGTGCCAGCTGTGGTGGCCATTGGAGGGTGAACCAACAGCGAAAGGAAGACCTTTCTCTCTGTCTTTCTCACTGTCCACTCTGCCTGTCAAAAAAAAAAAAACATGCCTCTAACTGCCCTTCCTACTACTAGCATACCTTCTGGCCAAAGTCTCTCCCACAATGCAATTCCCTCTCATACGTCAGCTCCAGCCTCCCCAACTCACCCACTACTGTCTGATTAGGACTTAGCCTCTGCTAACAGATTTTACCTGTAGAAATGTCCCTGGAGGTGCCAAGAACTTCAGCGAAGGATTCACCAATACACTCTTGCCAGTACAGTCAAAACCAGCACCCAGAAAGAGGCAGACAAGCAACAAGGTCCTGTAAGGATCCCCAAGAAACGGATGCTGAGGTGTCTCCACCACCCCAAAGTGAACCAACCAGCATCTAGCTCCCACTTTCTGACAACTGCTCTCGTGCATTTAAATACAAACATTGTACTTCCAAGCCACTTCCAAGCCATCCCAATATACCCTAGAAACGAAAAAACATTCTCACAAACACACAAAGATTCTCCAGCCAGCCCAGGCCACGTTGTGGTTCTGAGACAACTCAGAACTGCACAGATGGGGCCGGCATTGTTGCATAGCTGGTAAAGCTGCTGCCTAAAATGTTGGCATCCCATATGGAAACTGGTTTGAGTCCTGGCAGCTTCACTTCTCATCCAGCTCTCTGCTAATGCACCTGGGAAAGCAGGAGAAGATGTCCCAAGTTCTTAGACCCTACACCCACATAGGAGATTCAGAAGAAGCTCCTAGCTCCTGGCTTTGGCCTGGTCCAGCCCCAGGGGCTGTGGCCATTCAGGGAGTGAACCAGCAGATAGAAGCTCACTCACTCACTCGCGCACTCTCTCTCTCTGTAACTTTGACTTTCAAATATATATATGTAACTCTTTCAAAGAAATATAAAATGTAAAAAAAAAAAAAAAAGAAAGAAAGAAAGAAAGAACCGCATAGAGCATTCCCCTGTCTATGTGGAGCCAAAGCTCTTGCTTCTAAAGTTGACTTTGTAGACTATTTCCAAGCCTCAAGATAGGTAAAGAAAAATGGCCAAATGCGTTATTGAGACTGAGAGTGGTATAGGAAAGAACACAAAGGATATTAGGATAAAAATATCACTTGACCCTAAATGGGCTAAACATTTAAAAATGAAAAGTTTATATGCAAAAACTGTTTTTCATGACATTTTGGGAAAACCATTGAAAGACAGAATGTTACAAACTGGAGATCCTCTTACAGATGAGCGAAAGGATCACCTGCGAGCCTGTTAAAATATAGACAGGTGCTCAGGACTCACCTTAAATCTTATACTTAATGACCCAAACTCTACTGAGGTGACCAATTAACTCCTTTTTTTTTTTTTTACTTATAAGATCCAGGGAAGTACAGTGAATTTTTTTAATCAATAGATGTTTATTTTACAGTTATCTTCCATCACATTTTACAAAGGCTCTAGTGCAGAAATCTACACGGTTGCTAACAGAGCTCTCAATCACTCAGTGTAGACCTGCACCAGGATTCAAGGCAGTGAGTACACGGCAGACTAACTCCGTGTTATCCAGGGCAAACTTTATTAAAGCACAAAGAGAAGGGCAAGTGTTTGGCACCACAGTGAAGTCACTGTCTGGGCTGCTCCTACCCCACAACTGAGTGCACGGTTCTAGTTCCTGTTATTCCACTTCTGATCCAGCTTCCTGCTAAATGGGCACCCTGGGAGGCAGCAGGTGGTGGCTCAAATACTTGAATCCCTGTACCTACATGGGAGATCCAGACTGAGTGCCTGGCTTCTGGCTTTGACCTGGCCCAGCACCAGCTGTTGCAAGCATTTAGGGAATGAACCAGCAGATGGAAGACTTCACTGTGTGTGTGTGTGTGTGTGTGTGTGTGTGTCTGTCTCTCTCTCTCTCTCTCTCCCCCTCTCTATCCCTCCTTTCCTCCCTCCCCATCCCCTTGCCTTCCAATCAGAGAAAAATAAGTTTAAAAAAAAACACACAGCTCAATGAACATAGGACAATTTGCTTAATGACAGACATGACACAGGGAAGGCCAAACAGGAGAAAAGACACAGGGGCTTCCTGTCCCTCCTGCAACCTCAGCTCCACCTGATTCCCACATCAAAGCACAGCCAGATTCAGCTGTGACTGAAACTGCATCTTGTTGCATCAGCGCCAGGAGACCTGGACAAACCAAAGGCTACACCTCCTGTCTTTTCTAGAGAGTTTACTAGCTCATCATTTTTCATGGTCATGTGGCCTCCTAAAGTCCCCCCACAACCATCTAAAACATTCCTGAGGACTGAACAGTCAAGCTTTACCAGCCTTGTGTCCACTGGATGCATAGTCCACTAACATTAAAACAATGACCAATATGGCTCAAGTCTGCCATTTTATTTTTATGCCTACCCGCAAGTCCACCATTTTACAAGTTTCTGTTTGTCTCCCTTATCTCTTACTCCTTTGCTCTTCCTTTCCTGCCATCTTTTGGAGTTATTATCTAGCTTTTTAGGATTTCATTTTTTCTATTGGCTTTTTAACTGTACTTCCTAAACTATTTTTGAGAATTACCCTAGGATGGTAATATGCACCTGTTAATTTGTCTTAAAGTTGATCTGAAAGGTCTTCCAAAAGCTCATGGAAAATGCATATTATGAAAAAATGCACAAGTTTCAAAACTTTGTTTGCACAAAACAACCTCATCTTTTAATTTCACTTTTCAAAAAACTTTCTGAAGGATTGTCATGCTATACCCCATCACACAAAAAGTAAAAAGTAAAAAAAAAAAAAAAATCACCCAACATATGGGTCTGTAAGTCCCACCCCAAGCCTTTATGGTAGAGCCGTCATGTACATCACATCTACAAACACCCTTTGGTAGACTTTGGGGGACACACAGCAACATCTATGTAGAAGAAGTCAGAGGAAAAGCACTATTGTTTTCTGTTCATGCACATACTTAATTCACCTGATGCTCCTCCTTGCTTCCTAAGGACAAATTTCCACTTTCCAGCTTAAAGGACCTGCTGAGCCCTTTCTTGGCACACATTTCTGCCAGAGACACATTATCTTAGTTTTATTCCATGTGACCAGGTCTTTATTTTACCTTTATTCTGGAAGCTCACTTTGACTGGACAGAGTATTCGAGATACACAGATTTTCTGGTTTGCTGTTTTCTTCGTCTGAAAGCTCTTTGGGGTGGTGCTGTCCTGCTCCCTCCCAGCCACCACTGTTCCTGCTGAGACGGTCAGGTGCTTCAAGCTGTTGTTCCCCTATAAGTGATTCATAGCGCTTCCCCGCTTGTTTTCCAGATTTCTCCTTCATCTGTTTTTTGGGGGGAGAAGGGTTGGAGCTTCACATGGATGTGCACAAGCAGAGTTGTCTTGAATCCTGAATAACGCCACTGAGCTGAGCTCCGTAATCTACACCTCTACGTCACTCACTGCATCTGGCAGATTTTCAGCCATGATCTCTTTTGTTTATTTCATTATCTTGCTTCTCCTTCTGGAACTCAAATATGTTAGAACTTATATTACAACATACAAGGATATTAGAGCTTTGGATACTGTCCACAGTCCCTTGTGTCTCCATTTACATGTTTTCCTTTTTTTAAGACTAAATACATTCTATTGACCTTTCTTTAATGTCTGGCTCTTCCCACTATCTCCACTGTACTATTAAGCCCATCCAATGTACTTCATTTACTATTCCAAATTTTTCATCCTAAAATGTCCACTGTTTCTCACTAAAACTTCCATCGTTTCCTAGACTGTGAACATGTTTTCTTTATGATCTTGAGTATACTTAAAATAGCTACTTTAAAATCTTTGCTTGTTCTCCCATCTTCTGGGTATTCTTGGGGTTGGTCTCTGTTAACTCCTTTCATCACACAATGAATAATTTTAGATAGCATCTTGGATATCGTGAATGATATGTTGTAGAAATATCAGATTCTGTTAAGTTTCTGTGAAAATCTTCTTTTTTTAATTAGACAGTTAACTTGACTGAAATCAAACTGCAAAACACCATCTCCCCTGAGAGAGGGAGCAGTAAGTTTTTCAATTTGATAGTTTGAGCCTGAGACAGCTCATGTGCAATATGCCCCACGTGTGTGGTTCAGGGCCCAGCCATAAACTAGAGAAGATCTTCTACATGGAATTTGGGACTGCAGTCTCATGCTCTCTCCCTTCAGCAGCTAGGGTTGCCCTGAGCCCTCATCTCTACCTATTCAATCCAGCAAAAATGAGTGCTTTCCCTTGAGTTTTAGCCTTCCGAGACTTTAGACTGAAGGCTGTGCTAAAGACAAGTCTGCAGGAAATGAGAAATTCACTCAAAGCCTTTTCTCTCTTCCAACCATTACTTTCCCTTTCAGTATCTCCCTGCTTCTCCCTCCCTTGGTAACCATATTTGGTTAGTATACGTGTACCCTCGTTTTCTTTAGAATTTTCTTAAAGGGCAATAGACCACATACAGCCCAGGACCCACAGAACTCCTCTCATCACCAAACCGTGCTTCCTCATGGCATAACTTCATGCTCTCAGGAAAAACTATAAGGGACCACCAGATCTTCCCATCCCATCGCTGACCACAGCAAGACTTCCATCCACCCTGGCTGATCAGGCACATCCTGCTTAAATAGCCCACTGCAAGTGCACCCAACTTTTCAGAGACATGCAAGAAAAGTGAATGACCCAGACACATTACATACTTCAGCTCTTCTTGTCTGCTCAACAGTCCTTCAAGGAAAATGTTTAAAAGAGAAACACGTTAACTTGTCCACATTCTGTTTGCTAGAAAATGGTGGAACCAGGCTGGGAACTTTGGTGTCTCCAACTCTAAAAGCCTGTGTGCTGTCCATATTTACTAACGCATCTTTAAAGGCTTTAAATAGTGTCAAGTTCTCACTTAAACTGAAGTCATCCGTAATTCTGGATTGGGACCCTTTAAGAGTAGGGCTAGTTTCCTATTTGTCTTTGCATCCTCAGTGCCCAGCACAAAGGGGCTGAATAACTGATAAGCTAATTGACTGACAACACAAGAAATAGCAGGTAAAATCTACACTACTTCATCATGGCCATCTGACAGCTCACTGTAAGTGAGTAATACATACCACATGCTTCTCACCAAAAAATTTCCCTTCTCCAATCTAAAGTCTCCTTGGTCATTTAACCAATTCCATATGGTTACAATTTCTAGAACCCCTCTTGGACACACGGCAATGGACCAGTGTCATTTAAGGTATCACCCACATTTCCATTCCTTCTCAGAATGTAAAAAACCACAAGAGAATATCACCTCCTATCTAAAAAGAAAAAAAAAATAACCCACAAAATTAGAATTTTTCTCCAGCCCATCAGAAAGCTAATGCTACCAGGCAAAGAGCAAACTGAAATCCGAAGCATGACTAGCCCCTCCAAGGAGATACAACACACAAAACGTTTCACTGTTTGCAAAGGACAAGTTGAAGAGGCAGGCAGCATGAAAGTCAGTAAGAAGAAAAGAGCTGAAATTTCTAAAGGATCATAGATGCTGGATATGAATAGTCTATTGGCCGGCTTTTTGTCACTGTAACACGAGTACTTAAGCTAATTTATAAACGAAAAGGTTTACTTTCACTCACAGTTTTGGCTGTGCACAGTGCAACACTGGGTGGCTCTTCTGGGCTGGTGTCTGAGGAGAGCGGTAGATGGCAGACTGTGTGCAGAGACAGGACCACATGGAGATCCAGAAAACAGAGACTGGGAGAATACTCACCTTCTGTGCCAATGTCTCCCTTTGTAAAGGCACCATGATTCAACCACAGGCTCCACCCCAACAACTTCATGCAATCTAATCACTTCCAAAGGCCTCATCTTCAGACACAAGTGGACTAAGTTTCTCCCTTAAATCCATTAGACGTTAATGTTCACCCATTAACCACTAACATAATATCTTGGAGACTTCACCCATAACACATGGGCCTGTGGAAGACACCCAAACTAATATTCAAACTACATCTAGCATCTAACAAGGAAGATTAGAATTTCTGAGACTCAAAAGCAAAGTCTATCTTCACCAATCAGATTTTCCCAATAGTTCACAAGATGGATTAAGATCAAGCAAGAGGGGCCAGTGCTGTGGTGCAGCAGGTTAAAGGCCAGGCCCGAAATGCTGGCATCCCATATGGGTGCTGGTTCTAGTCCCGGCTGCTCCTCTTCTGATCCAGCTCTCTGCTATGGCCTGGGAAAGCAGCAGAAGATGGCCCAGTCCTTGCACCCCAGCACCCATGTGGGAGACCCAGAAGAAGCTCGTGGCTCCTGGCTTCGGATTGGCACAGCTCTGGCCGTTGCAGCCATCTGGGGAGTGAACCAGCGGATGGAAGACCTTTCTCTCTCTGTCTCTACCTCTCTCTGTAACTCCTGTCTTTCAAATAAATAAAATAAATCTTTAAGAAAAAAAAAGATCAAGCAAGAGTCAAGAGAGGCCTCCTAGAGTGTATACAGGTATGAAATCTTGCTATTTTCCAGACCCTTTTATTATTTTTTTTTCTGACAGGCAGAGTGGAGAGTGAGAGAGAGGAAGATCTTCCTTTTTGCCGTTGGTTCACCCTCCAATGGCCGCCACAGCTGGTGCACTGCGCTGATCTGATGGCAGGAGCCAGGTGCTTCTCCTGGTCTCCAATGCGGGTGCAGGGCCCAAGGACCTGGGCCATCCTCCACTGCACTCCCAGGCCACAGCAGAGAGCTGGCCTGGAAGAGGGGCAACCGGTACTTATTAAACACAGATATTGAAACCTACTTAAGAGTAACAGTCCTGGAAACTGGTACAGGTATTAGTTCATGTTGTGCTGCTATAACAGAATACCTGGTGCTACTGGTACTTATTGAAGAACAGATATATATGGGTCTTAAAAGTTATGAAAAACCAGTGCATGGATTTCAAAGTTTTTGCACCAAAATAAGCTTATCTTTTAATTCCATTTTCTCATACCTTTTCTGGAATACTCTGGTATATGACTCACAATTCTCATGGTTGCAGGTTCAAACATGATGGCACCAACATCTGGCAAGGACAGCCCTTGGCTGTGTCACAACATGTTAAGGTCATGGAAAAAAGTGGTCAAGGAATGAATGCCCTAGCTTTACAACAATTCATTCACATAAGAGATAATCCAGGCCCACGAGACCTCAGTCCTGCAAGACAGCACACATCCATTCATGAGAGTGCAGCATCTGACCTAAACCACTTTCCACTAGGCCTGACCTCTCCAAGGTTCCATCACCTGAACACCAGCACAAGAGGAATCAAGCTACTCAAATGGGAACCTTTGGTGCTCAGACCGCATGCAAACCACAGCAACTCACCTCCACTAAAGGAGAGGCAGAAGCAACATACACCTGCCTCCCAGAGGAGGGGCAGAAAGCCACTGTGGGTGCATCACCTTGAGAGATACTTGCAGAGGAAGGTCACCACTGGGAGCGGGAGATGTCCTCTCCACCCACAGCCCCCACTAATGTGAGAAAGAGAAAATCTCAGGCCTCAGACCCAGACACATAAGACCTAAGACGAAGACCAAAGCAAAAGAGAGAAATCCCCAACCATCACGAACACCATCCTGCCACACTGCAAGTTTCACACTGAGCAAGCAGCAACAGCAGTCTAGTCCTTAGGAGAGGCAACAACATGGAGAGAGAGCGCTCTCTGGTACAGGCAGGTGGGCTTGCTGAAAGCTGAGGATGAGGTGGAAACATGAACAAAGTCCTCCATCTCTGCAGGCTCCACACTAAGCACAAAGTAGCAGCAAGCCACCCTGGGCAGACTTGGAGGCCTATCACACAATAAAATCAGATCAATCCAGCTCAGTTTCTAACAACATTTATCCAGTTTCTCAAACTGGAGGTCTCTGTTTCCAGGCAGGAACAGAATTTACCTCAGTCTCTGCCGTCGTGCTACATACATTGTCTGATGCTGGATAAAAAATTATGGGACAGAAGAAATGCATGGAAGGAATTAGAAGAGACTTGGTCAAAAGATAAAGTGGTCAATATTACCAGAATAAGAGGTAATACAGATGTTAGAGTTACCAGACAGGGGCTTAAAATAATCGTTACTAATATGTCTTCTTTTTTCAAATCTAGTGTGAAAGGTGGACAACAACAATGAGTAAATGGGTAATTTCAGAAGAGAAATAGAGACTATTTTTTAAGAGCCAATTGGAAATGCTAAAGATAAAAAAGCATAATAACAAAAAGGAAGGATTCTTTCAAAAGGCTTATCAGAAAACTGAATGTCGAATAAAGGATTTAGGAACTTATTTAAAAATAAAAATTATTCTAACAACAAGGAAAAAACAGCATGTATGAGGTATGGGATGATATCAAATGGTATAACATATTTGGAATTCCAGAAGTAGAAGAGAAAGAAAAGGGAGCAGAAAAAAAGTGTTTGAAGAGATAATAGTGAATAATTTTCCCAAAATTAATGAAACACATCAAACCACAACATAAAGAAACACAGAAAGCCCTAAGCAGAGGAGTAAGTTAGGCACATCACAGTAAAACTGCAAGAAAACAAAGATATTGTAAAATTTGTGAAGGCAGTCAAAGAAAATCACACAGAAAAGAAAAAATCTAAGAATAACAGCATACTTCTCTACAAAAAGAATGCAAGACACAAAAAACTGGAATTATATCATTTAAGTACTATAAGGAAAACTGTCCACGTGGCATTCTAACCATAGCAAAAATATCTTCTAAACATCAAAGTAGATGAAGAATTTTTCAGACAAAACCAGAATTCACTGCCAAAATACTTGTGCTATAAAGATACTGAAGAAAGGCCTTGGGAGATCCAAGATGGCTGAACAGGGTGTAGCTACACCAACTTAAGCTGTTCTGGGATATGAAAAGAACAAAGGAAGGACTCAGTGTCCAGGAGTCTGACAGAAATTTTCAGCAAAGCAGGGAAAAAAAAAAAAAAAAACAGCTGTGAGCCACCATCTTACCACCTTAAGGTAGGAAGCAATCCCCACACACCCTACCACTCAGCAGCTTTGGCTAAGAGGGAATTCCACAGTCATGCAGTGACTTTTCCTTCATCCTGAAGAGCTGACATGGACCTGAGCCACTGCCTGGCTTGGAGCAGGGAAGCCACGTTCCTGTCCTTTCATCCCCTCCCCACCACACACAGAGTGCAATACTCAGCCTCTATTCTGCTCCTACAGGCTCACAGTCATAACCAGGACAACAGGGGGCAAAGGACGGATCCTCAGCACCCTGCAACTGTGGGAGTTTTGGGGCATTAGCCCCAGAGCTAAGCTCACACATTCTATGTGAGCCAGGGGAATTCAGCTAAGCTGCTGGGGTCTAACACCAGAAGCAGCCCATAAAAAACTCTCTCCCACCCTGAGAGATTTTGGTAATGATCCTAGTATACCAGCAACATCAGGACTGTAACAATTTGTATGAAATTTCTCGATGCCACTGCAATCTACCTGGTGGACACAGGGAAGAACCTACCTTCATTCCACCTCTCTGGAGTCATACCCTCCACAGTAAATCCCCTGAAGACCTGTAGTCACCATGTAGGGTTGAAACAGGGTTCACTTCACATCCTGTAGTCCTAGGACTAGGGTTGTTGGTATTATAAGCCAGAGCACCAGATGGACTCTCCTAGCAGGACCTGAGGAAGGGTCCATCTGTATCACACAGTTCTAGAGCCACAGCAGTTAGGACATAAGCCCTGACATCACTCAGGCTTGCCAGGAGGACAAGGAGGCAGCCACTTGTCGCCCTCAATGTCAAGAACAGGGACCTGTCTGTTACATTCTCCAGGGTGACTAACACCAAACTCTTTGTGGGCCAGAGTTACCCAGAAGCAAACCCTTTTACTTCTATAAGTCACACTTTTATCCCTACAAACTACAGCAGACTATATGACTGTGTCACTTATAGACACAGCTGACATTGATTAAGACAAAAAAACACTCAGACTACATTCCTGGGCTCACCTAGAACCAAATGCAAAGCAACAAGCCAAGTGATACCCTGCATTCCAGCTAAACCATAAACTCTTTTCCAATAAAACCTACTCCATAAAGAAGAAGGGACAAGTACACCACATAGATGTCAATGCAGATGTCAATGTAGGGAAATGGAAACATGAAGAAACAAGGTAGCAAGACAGTTCCAAAAGAACACAATACTTCTCCAGAATGAGATCCTGAACTGAAGGAAGTCTATGAAATGACATATGCAGAATTCAAAATAATGATTGTAAGGAAACTCAATGAGATTAAAGAAATGAAAGAATCAATGAGGGACATGAATGAAAATATTACTAAGGAGACAGAACTCATTAAGAAGAACCAAACAGAAATTCAGGAAATGAAATCGCCAATCAGTGAAATAAAAAATATGATTCAGAGCTTTAACAGCAAAATACACCAAGTGGAAGAAAAAATTTCTGACCTCAAGGATAACAATTAAAAAAAAAAGATTTACTTATTTGAAATGCAGAGTACACAGACAAAGGAGAGGCAGAGAGAGAGAGAAAGTGGGGGGTCTTCTATCCACTGGTTCACTCCCCAATTCGCTGCAATGGTCAGAGCTGCATCGACCCAAATCCAGGAGTCAGGAACTTCTTACGAGTCTCCCAAGTGGGTGCAGGGGCCCAAGCACTTAGGCTATCTTCTGCTGCTTTCCCAGGCCATAGCAGAAAGCTGGATCAGAAATGGAGCAGCCAAGATTTGAACCAGCACCAAATGGGATGCCGGCACTGCAGGCGGCAGCTTTACCTGCTGCACCACAACACTGGCCCCTAGAATGGCTTTCATACAGAAATCAACAAACAACAAATGCTGGTGAGGATGTGGAGAAAAAGGTTCCTTAATCCACTGTTGGTAGAAATGTAAACTGGTAAAACCACAATGGAAGATATTTTGGAGATACCTCTGAAACCTGAATATAGTCCTACCATATGACCCAGCCATGCCACTCCTAGGAATTTACCCAAGGGAAATGAAATCAGCAAATAAAAGAGTTATCTGCTCCACCATGTTTATTGCAGCTCAATTCACAATAGCTAAGACATGGAATCCACCTAAATGCCCATCAACAGAAGACTGAATAAACAAATTACGGGATATGTACTCCATGGAATACTACACAGAGGTTTAAAAAAAATCCAGTCATTTGCAACAAAATGGATGAATCTGGAAAACATCATACTTAGTGAAATAAGCCAGTCCCAAAGGGACAAATACCATATGTTCTCCCTGATCTACGATAACTAACAAAGCACCTAAGAGGAAACCTGTAGAAGTAAAATTGACACATTGAAAAGCAATGACTTTAACAGCCCTTGTCTTGACTATTGAGGAACAGTTTTATTTTTCTTTTTTTTTCTTAATATCATTGGTTGATCTCTTTACCTATCATAGAGTTAATCATATGTATATAAAGTCAACTGCAAATAGATATCAGTAAAAAATAAGAGTGGAAATAAAAGAGGGAAGAGGAAGTTTATAACTGTAAAACTGTATAGTTCTGTATACATTCCTACAGACTTACTTTTAAGGGTACAGCTAAAAGCTTGCCATGGGACTTCAAATCCCATTAAGCTGGGTGATAATAATGCCATCTTAAGTGTTAAAGTGATCATATTAAGTGTGTTACTGATCATATATATAGGATTAAGTGTTAAAGGGATCATATAAATAAGATCAAGTGTCTGGTAATAACAATAGATAGAATTAAAAAGGAGAGATTGTTCCAACATGAGAAGCAGTTCACACAGCAGACTCATAGAATGACAATTGCTCTAAATAGCACTCTGACCTCAGAACCAGCCCTTAAGGCATTCTGGTCTGGCTGAAAAGCCCATGAGAGCATTTCAGGCATGAAAAGCAAAGATACTGTGGCCAAAAAAAAAAAAAAAATCCTACATGAACAATCTCTATGAGACCCCAGTGGAAAGAAGGGACTATCGAAGAACAATGTACTTTTCTTGGAAGGGAGGAGAGAACTTCCACTTTGCTTATGGCCTTGCCTACCTACTGATGGAGACTATGGACTGAAAAGGCTTCCATAGCCTTGGCAGCTCATGTCAAGAGTTTGGGTGATCACTGACATCATACATAAGAGTATTAATTGTTAAACTAACAACAGGAGTCACTGTGCACTTACTCCCCATGAAGGACCTCTTTCCTCAATGAGTTGTACTATGAGAATTAAATGTAAAACTTGTTCTCAGCCGGCGCCGCGGCTCAGTAGGCTAATCCTCCACCTTGCGGCGCAGGCACACCGGGTTCTAGTCCCAGTCGGGGCGCCGGATTCTGTCCCGGTTGCCCTTCTTCCAGGCCAGCTCTCTGCTGTGGCCAGGGAGTGCAGTGGAGGATGGCCCAAGTCCTTGGGCCCCGCACCCCATGGGAGACCAGGATAAGCACCTGGCTCCTGCCTTCGGAGCAGCGCAGTGCACCGGCTGCAGTGCGCTGGCCGTGGCGGCCATTGGAGGGTGAACCAATGGCAAAAAGGAAGACCTTTCTCTCTGTCTCTCCCTCTCTCACTGTCCACTCTGCCTGTCAAAAAAAAAAAAAAAAAAAAACACCTTGTTCTCAACAGTTTTTATATTTTTTGTGTGTGCTTATGCAAATCGTTGAAATCTTTACTTAGTACAGAGCTGGTCTTCTGTGTAAAAGTTAACTAAAAATTAATCTTAATGGAGAATGGGACTGGGAATGGAAGAGGGAGGCAAGGGAGTGGGAGTGGGAAGGTGGGTACGATGGGAAGAATCACTGTATTCCTAAAGCTGTACTTATGAAATTTGCACTCATTAAATAAGTTTCTTTTAAAAATGACTCCACTATATGCTGTCAACAAGCAATTCGCTTCATAAAAATGTACACAGACTGAAAGTGAAGGATTGGAAAAAGATATACCAGGCAAATGGAAACCAAAAGTAAGCAGGCATAGCTATCCCAATATCAGATAAAACAGACTTTAAAGCAAAAACTATAAAAAGAGATAAAGGAGGACACGAGATTTTAATAAAAGTTCTATTCAGTGTGAAGACAAAACCATAATAATTATATATGCACCCAACACAAGACCACCCAGATATACACAACAAATACTATTAGACCTAATGAGAGAGATAGACTCCAATATAATCATGTGGGTGATTCCAACACCCCACTCTCATCAGTGGACAGGTCACCTAGACAGAAAAATCAATAAAGATACATCAGAGTTGGAACATACTATCAAGAAAATAGAAATTTATAGGAAATTTCACCCAACAGCTACAGAGAATACACATTCTTCTCATCAGCACATGAAACATTTTATAAGCGAGACCATATGAGAACTGTATCTACAAAGCACACTGAATCTGTTAAAAATAATTAAAAATTAAAACATTTTTAAAAAAGAAAGTCCTCAAACAAAAATCTTACCAAAAGGAAAATGAGATGAGATCCATACAAAGAAATAAAGAATTCTAGAAATGGAAAACATGCAAGAAGAATGATGCTCTATTTTTCATTTTATTCTCTTTAAAAATAAACTGACTCTGCAAAGTATATTTTGCTGCAAATAAAATAAACAGGCAGGTACTGCGGCTCACTAGGCTAATCCTCTGCCTGCGGCACCGGCACCTCAGGTTCTAGTCCTGGTTGGGGCGCCAGATCTGTCCCAGTTGCTCCTCTTCCAGTCCAGCTTTCTGCTGTGGCCCGGGAGTGCAGTGGAGGATGGCCCAAGTCCTTGGGCTCTGCACCCACATAGGAGACCAGGAGGAAGCACTTGGCTCCTGGCTTTGGATCAGCGCAGTGCACCGGCAGCAATGCACCAGCTGTAGCGGCCACTTGGGGCAGGGGGAGTGAACCAACAGAAAAAGGAAGACCTTTCTCTCTGTCTCTCTCACTGACTCTGCCTGTAAAAAAAAAAAAAGAAAAGAAAAAAAAGAAAAAAAAAGAAACAACATGAACAGACTATTTTAATTTTCCCCTTAAAATAAAAAATAGAAAAACATTTTTCCTGATTCAAAGACAACTACTCTTTAAAGAAAAAAATAATAACAATTATCAGGATTGATAACATATATGTAAGTAAAACATGTGTCAATGGGACAAAGAACAGTAGAGAAGAAACAGAAGTATATTATTGTAAATTCTTGAGCTATACACAATAAAGTATGTTATTTGAAAGTAAACTGGTGGCCGGCGCCACGGCTCACTAGGCTAATCCTCCGCCTTGCGGCGCCAGCACACCGGGTTCTAGTCCTAGTCAGGGCGCCAGATTCTGTCCTGGTTGCCCCTCTTCCAGGCCAGCCCTCTGCTGTGGCAGGGAGTGCAGTGGAGGATGGCCAAGTCCTTGGGCCCTGCACCCCATGGGAGACCAGGAGAAGTACCTGGCTCCTGCCATCGGATCAGCACGGTGTGCCGGCCGCAGTGCGCCAGCCATGGCGGCCATTGGAGGGTGAACCAACGGCAAAAGGAAGACCTTTCTCTCTGTCTCTCTCTCTCACTGTCCACTCTGCCTGTCCAAAAAAAAAAAAAAGTAAACTGGTAAGTTAGATATATACTATACACTCTAAATCAATCAACAGAAAATTTTTAAAAGGAATAAATCTATAATCCAATGGTGGAAATGAAACAGGATCACAAATATAAACAAATATTTCCAAAAAAAAAAAAAAAGGAAAGAAAAGAAGGAAACAGGAACAGAGTAAATGGAACAAACAACTTGCAAAATGGTGGATTCAAAAGAAACAATATTACTAATTATATTAAATGTAAATGGCCTAGACATTCTAATTAAAAAGCAGAAATCACCAGATTGGATAGAAAAGCAAAACTCAACTACTGCCTTCTAAAAGAAGTCTACTATAAAGAGGAAGAGGTAGGTACATGTGTAATGGTGTCATACAAAATAGGTTTCAGACAAGCAGTATGTTCAGGATAAAGAGTTGATTCATCAAGAAGATATAACAAATGCATGTGCATCTAACAAGAGTTACAAAACATGTAAGGAAAAACCTGACCAAGCTCGAAGAAGAAATCAGAAAAAAAAAAAAGGGACAGAAAAACAGACTTCCATACTTTTCTCTCATCAATTTATATTTAAAAAATTGTTTAAATGATTAAAAATATGGAAGACCTAAACAGCACTATCAACCAACTTAACTTAATTGACATTTATAGAAGACTTCAGCCAACAGTTTCAGAATTCACATTCTTCTCAGGACCCATGGAACATTTATCAAGAGAGACTACTTTTTGCACAAATGTTTTTAGCTGCTTTATTCCTAATACCTAAAAAATTTAAATAATCCAAATACTATCAAATGGTCAATTGTCCACCATTGTGATATATTCACACAATGGAATACTGTTCAGCAATAAAAAGGAATGAGCTAGTAATACTTATAACAATATGCATGAATCTCATTAGCACTAAGCTAAGTGAAGGAAGTCAAGTGTACACACCATATTATTACAGTTTTCTGGGGAAAGGCAAGGCTCTGCAGACAAAAATTAGATGCAGCAATGCAAAGAGCTTAAGAGAGAAACATTGAGAAGAGGGACAAGCGAACATTTTGGGGTAATGAAAATGTTCTCTCTTAATTGTGGTGGTGCTTACATGACTACAGGCACCTGTCAAAAGCCCTCTGATGGGGGCCAGTGTTGTAGCACAGTAGGTTAAGCAGCCATTTGTGGTGTGGACATCCCATCCTGGAGCACCAGCCTGAGTCCTGGCTGCTCTGCTTCCAATCCAGCTCCCTGCTATTGCACCTCGGAAAGCAGCAGAAGATGGCCCAAGCATTTGAGCTCCTGCACCCACATGGCAGACCTGGAAGAAGCTCCTGGCTCCTGGCTTCAGCCTGGCCCATCCCTGGCTGTTGTGGCCATTTGGGGAGTGACCCAGTGGATGGACAATCCCTTTCTCTGTCTCACCCTCTCTGTCATTCTGCCTTTTCAAACACATAAATCTTCTTTTAAAAATCATCTAACAGCTAATTTAGAAAACAAATTAAGTGTATGTAAATTCTATTTCACTAAAACTAACTTTAGAAATACAGTTTTAAGGGGCTAGTGCTGTGGCACTGTCTGTGGTGCCAGCATACCAAATGGGCATCGATTCAAGTCCTAGCTGCTCCACTTTGAATCCAGCTCCCTGCCAATGTGCCTGAGAGAGCAGTGATGGATGGCCCTACTTCTTGCACCCCTGCACCCATGTGGAAGACCCAGATGAAGCTCCTGGATCCTGACTTCAGCCTGGCCCAGCCCTGGCCATTGCAGCCATTTACAGAGTGAACCAACAGATGGAAGTTCTCTTGCTCCCTGTCTCTCTCTCTAATTCTTTCAAAAAATAATTTTTTTAAAATATAGTTTAAATACTGTCACCAAAGACAAAAAACAGTAATGACAAAATAAGCACATAATAATAAATACAACCTGACTTACCTTCCTTAAAAACACTTTTAAAGATTTATTTGGTTTGTGTTTTTCTTTAAACTCAGAGCTACAGAAAGAGAGAGAGAAAGAGAGAGAATCCTCCTTCCATTGGTTCACTCCCCAGTTGACCGCAACAGCCAGCACCAGACCAAGCCAAAGACAGGAGCTTCATCTGGGTCTCTCATGTGGGTAGCAGGAACCCAAAAACCTGGCTCACCCTCCACTGCTTTTCCCAGGCCATTAGCAGGGCACTGGATCAAAAGTGGAGCTGCCAGGACATGAACCAGCGCCCACATGGGATACCAGCATTGCAAGTGGTGCATTTACCCTTCATACCACAAGTCCCTTCAAGTACTTTTTAAGGACCTACCTCACTCTACTGCCTCAAATGGAACCTCATTAAGCACCTCCAGCTTCTTAGAAATAGGCCTATACAATTGAGTCCAAGCGTGCTTGAAAAAGTTCAAGGAAAAACGGAATTGAAAAGTAAGTTCACTTTGGTGCAAAAATAGTTTAAATCTATGCACAGTTTCTTTACAGTACATTTTCCAGGAACTTTTTGAAGACCCTCATACACACGAAATTACCTGTTTTTGAAGATGTATTTATTCATTCATTCATTCAAAAGGTAGAGTGACAGGGAGGGAGAGCTCTTCCATCTACTGTTCCTCTCCCCCAAATGGCAACAGCAAGCAAAGACTGGGCCAGGCTGAAGCCAAGAACTCCATCCAAGTCACCCACATGGGTGTAGGGACCCCAATACTTGGGCCATTTTCCACTGCTTTTCTAGGCACATTAGCAGGAAGCTGGATCAGAATCAGAGCAGCCAGGACTTGAACCAGCACTCCAATATGGGATGTTGGCTTTACAACCAGCAGCTTAACCTGCTGTACCACAAGACCAGCCCCATGAACTCATCTTTTAATTCCATTTTCATGAACTTTTTGAAGTCCCCTCATATATACATACTTAGATCTCTCTTAGGAGCCAGAGATCAGATAAGAAATATCACAGATGTCAGCAACGTGCACACACAGGAAAATCCACTTGGACGTTGGTAAAACACCACCCGGCGTGTGGTTCTGAGCTGCCTTCCTTACGGAGACAGAGCACTCAACATGGAACACTGGGAAGCAGAGACCACCTGGGAGCCTTGGCTGACAACAGAAAGTGTCCTTCATTGTCCTGCACTGCTCAAGACAGTGCAGGCTGTCCAGAGAGAGAGAATCTAACTGCCAGGAAAAGAGACCCAGGAGGGTCCCAGACCCCTGGGCCCACCCCAGAGTATCAATAGAAGAGCTGCTCACGCCTGCCTCAGGGAGGAGCTCCCAGGACTCCTGCCTGAGCCAATCCAGGGCAGAGAGGAGCCTTCCTGCGGCAAGATGCACGCTCAGGCTGCCAGCGCCGCGCTGGTTCCTGCTGAAACAAGTCAATACTGAACTCCTTTTCCTCGCTAAAGGTTAATCTGCAAAAGTACAAAATGCCAGCCTGCTCTGGACTACAGGAGTCTCCGGGAAAGTTCACAGCGTTGCTATCAAACCTAAAATAACTTTCCTAATTGCCTGGTAAGGGCTCCCGACAGGCCACCTCTGCCATGCATGTGTCCTCTGAGGGGTGGTGCGGCTTTCTTCGTTTTAAATGCTGTCTTTCACCACTGTGTTTACACTTTCCACAAAGATACGGCATGATTAATGCAGAAAAAAATAAACATGAAAAGTCTTACAATCAAATTAGGAGAGCCCTTGATAAAACCGGCCCTCTTCTTGTGAGTAATTTGGAAGAATAACTGTTTTTCATTACAACCTTGGCTCCCAGCAGGTCCTGCAAAAACCTAGCCAGCTACAGTGCAAGGCAAGGTCCGACGGAGGACCCGCTCAAGGTGGGGATAAATCACCATCATGCTCACAGCCCAGGTTTCTATCTTTTCTTATCCCCCTTAATAAATTGGGCTTGACCTGAAACTCCAAGAAAGTTAATTTATAACAGCCAAAAAGAGGGTTTTTTTTTTTTAATGTAACAGCTCACCTTTCTTTTTCTTTTAAATTTAAACCATAATGACAAATGGAGATTTATTATATACTATAAACACATGTGGCTTGAGCGCTGGTATTTAGTCTGGAAACTCAGTTGGGTCAGCAAGCTGCTGGTGCAATCAGGAAATGCCATGTGATATTCCTGATAAAAGCAAAACATGCACACATTCCACAGCACTTACTGTGGCCTCTGTGGTTTCAGCCATTGTGTGGGCACCACAGACATGTGCAGGCTGAGAGCTCAGAGATGACTGACTCAGCGAGGCCAAGCAGAGGTTCTGTATCAGAGCCACACTCAGCCAAGTCACTGAACTTACAACCTTCAAAAGGACAACCTGGGATCTGAGAGACCAAGAAAGAAAGCTACCTTCACAGGACACTTCTCCAACCTGGGCTTGGGCTCCTCTTCCCTCCCCACACCTGGCATAACGTTACAAGTGGTTCATGTGCTGTGGTCTGGAGACTTCCAGTAATGCCGCACAGAACCATCCTAAAATGCCAGGCTGGGTTCACCAGAAGCACACCAAATCCTGCTGGAAGGTGAGTAAGGAACCTTGCTCCCAACCCTGTCAAAGCTCATTTTAGACTCCTGACCCTTCTTCCTTTTCCTGCCCATGCTGAAATGATCTATGGCTGTCATTCCTTCAGTCCTCACTGGCTACAAGCACCAGGTGTCTCACCAGCTAAGCAGAGCACTCTGGGAAGTCATACTAACTGGAGGTTAAAGATTTCAACTCTGAAGTCAATTCTGGGTCCATCATTTTCCAAATTCTCTAAACCTAGGTTCTTCCATCTGTAAAATCAGGGGGCCAGCGCCATGGCTCACTTGGCTAATCCTCCGCCTGCAGCGCCAGCATCGGCATCCCATATGGGCACCGGGTTCTAGTCCCAACCGCTCCGCTTCCAGTCCAGCTCTCTGCTGTGGCCCGGGAGGGCAGTGGAGGATGGTCCAGGTGCTTGGGCCCCTGTACCCGCATGGGAGACCAGGAGGAAGCACCTGGCTCCTGGCTTCAGATCAGCACAGCGCGCCAGCCATAGAGGCCATTTGGTGGGTGAACCAATGGAAGGAAGACTTTTCTCTCTGCCTCTCTCTCTCTCACTGTCTAACTCTACCTGTCAAATAAGTTAAAAAAGAATCAGAATACTTGGCCCAGTGCTGTGGCATAGCAGGTAAAGCCCCTGCCTGCAACACCAGCATCTCATATGGGTACCAGTTCAAGTCCCAGCCGCTTCACTTCTGATTCAGCTCCCTGCTAATGTGCCTTGAAACGCAGCAGAACATGGTCCAAGTACTTGGCCCCTGCACCCATGTGGGAGACCTAGAAGAAGCTTTTGGCTCCTGGCTTCAGCCTGGCCCAGGCCCAGCAGTTAAGGCCATTCAGGGAGTAAACCAGCAGATGGAAGATCGATCGATCTCTCTCTCTCTCTCTCTCTCTGCCTCTCTGTAATTCCGCCTTTCAGATAAATAAATCTTTAAAAAATCAAAATGTTTAAAAAGTAAATCAGAATACTTACTAAGGTACCTCATGTGTCTCTCAGGAGGATTCAGTGGAATAATGTATGTGAACTACACGGATGGCCAGAAACATTCTCCAAAGTTTGGAGATTGCAAGCAGTAATCCAATCAGTCACTACACAGTACAATAATTACTAGCTATCAGTAGTGGTGGTTATTATTCATAAATTTTCCATACGTATACATCTTCCCTCCAGAACTACAGCAAGATCCTTAAAAGAAGACCTTCCACTTTTGTTGCTAATGGTTCCCAGGCACAAGAAACTCAATTCTACCATTCCAATAAAATGACTTTTATTCATAATTATCTACAGAATGGGAACTAATTTTAAAAATACAGATAAAAAGGAAAATTAAAACCATCCTTGACCCCAACCTTAGGAATTGCCAGTAAATATTCTGAAGCAGATTCTTTGGATTTTTTTCCTTACATATCACATGTTTACTTCCCAGTACAACTGGGACCCACAGTATGTAACACTTCACTGTAACGTGCTTCTTTATTTATCATTAGCTCATGGTATTTTCCTCTGCCACTGGACCTTCTCCAAAAGCATAGCCTTTGCAGGTAGCATGTTGTGCCCGTCTGTCACCATTCTCATCCACGACCATGCACATGGAAGATGCCGTATCACCAGGGTGCAGTCGGGCCACTCCAACCAGGAAGCATGTGTGCAATCACCTGGCAGCACGCCCAACACTGATCGACACTCAATAAACATGCTCTCATTCTTCCTGTGCCTGTCTCAGGTCTTTAAGAAACTTCATGAAAGTTTCCAACTTCCCCCATGAAATAATGCTGCTCAGTACTAAAAGAACTAAAGCTCAAGACTTCCCTACAGTGCTCCTCTCGCTCCCTTCAGCTCCCAGCACAAGATTCTGGACAACCATGGTAACAGAATCCCCAGGAGTTCTGTGGTCAATAGAAACCATAATCCTACTTACCTCTGCCTGTGACCTTTCAGGATCCAGAGCTCTCAGACTGGAAATTTTGACAACAAATATTGCTCTCATTTTTTCACATTAGACTTTCCTTCTCAACAAGACTCTTTTTAAACATTTTATTTGAAAAAGTTACACAGAGAGAGAAGGAGAGGCATAGAGGCATAGAGAGAGGTCTTCCACATGCTGGTTCACTCCCCAAATGGCTGCAACGGCCGGAGCTGCGCAGACCCGAAGCCAGGGGCCAGGAGCTTCTTCCGGGTCTCCCAGGCAGGTGCAGGACTTGGCCCATCTTGTACTGCTTTCCCAGGCCACAGCAGAGAGCTGGATCAGAAGTGGAGCAGCCAGGACTTGAACTGATGCCCATATGGAATGTCAGCACTGCAGGTGGTGGCTTTACCCACTGCGCCACAGCACCAGCCCCCGCAACAAGACTCAAGGATTAGACCATGAAGCTTGATATCACTGTAAAGAACACGGGACTCAGGGTCAGGAGGTCTGGGTTCTAGTCCAACTTCATCTCTTACTAGCTCTCACAATTTGGGGTAAATGATATCCTCTGAGACTCAGGAACCTTATCTGTAAAACAGAAGACCTCAGTAAAGTGATCTCCAAGCTTCACTAATGTCATCACCTTTAGAGCGCAACCACGTTACACACAGCTATCATTTGCTGACTGAGGTCTGGTGTAAGTCACACACTTGTCTACAGGCTTTGTCCTATGAAGATACCAGTGCTGTCATGCATCCGCTTTAGCATAGCAGCAACAAGTCCAGAGTCAGAGCCACCCCCTGAGCCCAGGTGTGTGTCTAACCTGGGCACTCCTCCAATCCCTTTGCTTCTGGGACACCCACAGCAGCTCCATGCTCTTAGTTAACACTGGTTGATTGACAGAGCGTAGTCTCTGACTCAATTCTTGGACGTTTACTGAGAGCTTATTTCTATACGTCACCACGCTACACGAGACTGCCGCTGCAGACCTGGTAACTGCCGCAGAAGATGGCCTGTGCACCTCCAGCCTCCACCCGCAGGATGCCAGGAGCAACCGCCCCAGCCCCAGGTATGACAAATTAAGTGTCCCTTGGGAGTGGGGTGCTCTCCCAAACCCCTGAGAACCACGCTTTAAAATAAAATACACTGAAAACACAAGAAAGACAGGCCAAAGGCCAAAAGCATCATGCTGACAACCATATCAATAATGAGCTCTCTCTGCCTCTCCTAACTCTTTCAAACAAATAAAATTAATCTTTAAAAAAGGGGAGGGGGCGGCGCTGAGGCGCAGTGGGTTAAAGCCCTGGCCCGAAGTGTTGGCATCCCATATGGGCACCAGTTCTAGTCCCAGCAGCTCCTCTTCTGATCCAGCTCTCTGCTACGGTCTGGATAGCAGTGGAAAATGGTCCAAGTCCTTGGGCCCCTGCACCCCTGCAGGAGACCCGGAAGAGGCTCCTGGCTCCTGGCTTCGGATCCGCGCAGCTCTGGCCATTGCGGCCATCTGGAGAGTGAACCAGCAGATGGAAGACCTCTCTCTCTCTGTTCTCCTTCTCTCTCTCTTTCAAATAAATAAAATTAATCTTTAAAAAAATAATGAAAACAGAAGTGAAGTTAATTACCAGACTCTAACACCTTCGTACTGACAAGCATGCCCCCCACCAGAATAACACAATAGTCAAACCATCAGGTTAGACACCAGATACATATACACCTTTCATTTGTCTGTTGCTTCTCATAAAAGCTGCAAAAAGCAAAATGATCTTCACATTGTTTCTCATTATTATAGGGATTTCAAATGATGCAGAAAAAAACAAAAATCAAAATCTGGCTTTTACACACACACACACACACACACACCACACACCACACACGAACGCTACAACAGGAAGAATTCACAGCCTTGCGCCAGGCCCTAATGGCAGGCTAGAGCCCACCACTTTGCTGCTAGAGTCGTCCAAGAGGGAAGTCCTCCCTTCCCACGTCACAGGCAGTGAGAGCGAAGGCTAGGAAAATCGTTTTCCTAGCACCCTGTATTCAAGTCGGGCCTTTGGAGGAATTTTCCAGTAGAACCAGTGCTATTATGGTTACACTGTCAGGCTGGCCCACAAAACTATTTCACCTGGAAGAGTGCTTTTCATTTTACAGAAATAAATCTTCTGAGATGGCCTGGGCGCCCACTGTCATTTAAACCTCCATTCAAGTTGGAGAATTAGAGACTAAATATAAGGTAAGTAACTGCAGCCTGATCTGTCCTCTACCCGTTCTCCCAGAAGTGATCTGAGTCCCTCCCGCTAAGTTCTCCATCAAAACTCATCTGCACCTGAGAGCGGGGTGCGCATGCGTGCGCACGCACATGCACACGCACAGAGCCGCTTTTCATTTCTGAAGTCTGAGGCTGAGTGTTGAGGGCTCTTCCCGGCAGTCTTTTGAGGCTGGTTCTTGGTGTGAAACTGTGTTTGGACACAGATGAGGTGAGGGACCTGAACTTTAAACAGGCCAGAAGGTGCGAGCCATGCGGGAAACGCTTTGGGGGCCCCCTCCACGAGAATCAGCGTTCGTCCCTGACAGGGGTGCCAATCCGACATGCTGCAGATCAGCAGGGACATTTCGGCTGACCATCATATTTCATGGACAAAATTATATTCTAGGAAGGGGGAGAGGGAGTAGGGGGAGCGGGGGGAGGGAGGGAGGGAAGCCACATGAAAGTTCTGAAATCTATCAATGTCCAGAAGTAGGAAATGGGAAAAAAGAAAAAAAAAAAAAAAGAAAAGAAACCTTTGGGGAGTTTAAAAAACATGAAATAAAATTTCTATCTTATTTCAGAATCCTGGAGTAAATAGTATTTCTGATGCCCCCACAGAGAGCCAAATCCAGCCAGCAACCCAAACACAAATACAAATAAATAAATACTGGGCTAGCGAATTAGGGGAGGCACACAGAGGAATTTCAAAATAGGATGAGGGTTTTGCTCCGAAATGGGATCCTTCCTCCCTCTGCGCCCCTCCCCCAGCCCCCATTCTTTTTCTTCAAGTAAAATCCATTATTTTGAAAACACCATTTGAAATCCTAAAGAAATAGCAAAACACAGTATTGTGGTATTCCAAAGTAATATCTCTTGTTTATAACCATATAAATTTAGCCCCTGGCACTACAGGGCTTATATAACGGAATAGAGTTATTTTAACAGCATCCTGTTAAAGAAGCAGCAAAATGCTCAGCTCATTTTCTCCAGTGGGAGGGACACATGGCCTCACGCAGGAGAGGGAACATGCCTAAGTCATTACTGCGGCAAAGCCATCCGTCAACGCCGGGTCGCTCTGGCACGGCCAGCACCACTGGCGAGATCAGAGAGGCAGCCCCTGCTTGCAATTACCAGCGCAGGACCTTGGCTCTCGGCAGCCTGCTATCAATTACTGCCCTGGCCTCGCCTCTTGGACTTGTCAATTTCCCAGTGTCTTCTGTTTTGTAACAGTAAGAAAAAGGGCTCCTCCTGACTGATTCTTGGAAGTTTCTCATGTGTTGTGTCACTCCTCGGTGTCATTAACAATTCAATTAAAATTTCACAGCACACAGGCAGCCAGCCCCGGACACAGCCGGCAGGGCCCCCTTCCACCCCCACCATGGCGGTCACATTTCTAGGAGGGTCTGTGAGGGGGCCCCCAGCCGGATCAAGCCAATCCGATCCCGCAGCCCCTCTGACTTCATCAGGCAGGCTTGCGTGTGTATGGTTGACACGACGCTGGCTGTCGCGTTGGCAAGGTGACACGTTTGGTGTTCTCGCCCCGCTGGGGGTGTAGCCATGAGAAGGAGTTTAGAGTTGGCTACAAGTAAAAATCTCACACTTTTTTCCTAAATGTCTAGGCTCCACAGTGGATCATTATGAACACACTCAGCTCTCTTCTTCTACAGTGAGTTCTAGAAACTTCTTTCCTTCCATGTGTTGTTTTTGTTTTTTGTTTGTTTGTTTTTTTTTTTTTTAATGACTCCTATTTTCTGGTGTTTCAGAGTGGGACTGTCTGTAAGAATGGAGAGACAGGGGTTAAATCACAATTAAATTCTTCAGGAAGGCAGATGACCAGGAATGCTAAGACAGGATGGCTACAAACAAAACAGACTTGCTACTGTCATTATTAACTCTGTGAAAGTGCCAGCGCTCCTTTGTCTCGCTGAACCATGGAACTACACACGCTCACGTGCTTTTAAGCATCCCGAGGGTTTAGGGCAAAACCAAAAAAAAAAAAAAAAAGTTTCAGGCTTAAGACTTCTGAGGCAGTTTTCTCTCTAACCCTCTCAATGAGTTTAGTCATGCAAGGCAAGATTCTTTAAAGTTACCAAAGACTTTGTTTAATGCCCAAGAAAATGCCGACTGTCAGCACCCTTTGTCAGGTTGTAGGGGCTTAAGTCCAGTCCCCAACACACTGGGGACCCTCCACCCGCAGTCACTAGTTTCTTTTTGACATCAAGAGCTGGATAATTGTCTGATTTCCTTCTAGGTAAAAGGAGATTAAATGCCCAGCTGCAACAGCTGACACACAAAAGGGAAAATATAGTTTAACCACCATATTTATCAAGATAATTTTTCTTCCACACACTGATTAATAACATTAGCCAACATCCCCTTTGGCTGGGGGGGTGGAGGGGTACAGAGGAGAGGAGGGGAGAGACGTGTCCCCCCTCAGAGTATCAGAAACAGGAGTTGACAGTTCAAGGCAAAAATGATTTGCATGTAAATTCTGATCAAAAGCAAGTCTGCACCCTGAAGTTGTCAAGTTTTGCTACCAATTTGACACTTAAATGGGCTATAGCAAAACTTGATTTAAACTGAAGAGGAAAAAAACATGGCAACTCAATTACCCCCTAGCAGATCGGATCTGGCAGCTGAGGTCAAACTTTTCACCCTGCCATTACATTTCTCAATACCTGATGCTTTAAACAAACACTGCGTATTCCTCCTACAATCTTGGAGGAAAATGCATTTCTCAGGGCTCCCTACTGTGCCCCAGATTAAAAAATAAAGTTTCACTTGTGTGGGATCCAGGGCTGTTTTCTCCATGTAAATTTCTGAATAAAACAGGACTTAAGAAACGGCCTTTTACACCGGGAAAAATAGTTTCTGCTTTGAAAAAGAAAAAGAAAAAACTTTATAGGGAAGATTTGTGGAGTACTAAAAGATGATTTAAAAACAAATATTCCCACAGCATTAGAGGCAAAACATTGACCTGTTTTCAGTTTGCTTTTAATATATTTCATATTTGAGCTTAGGCTGAACAGCACATTAATTCATCAGGGAGAAAAACAGCCAGCTAGCTCCAAATCAGCTCCAAATTTATGGAGGACAAAGCATCTTGTAAGGCCCTGGGATGGAGACACCAATGCTGCAAAGTCTGCGGACGTGGCTGGCCCCTGCCACCCCATCAGGCTTTCCATGCAGCAGTTCTCAAACCTGCAAGAGTCTTTAAACTCTTAACTGCTTTAAAGTAGCTCCAAAGCAAGGCTTCCCTACCTCCCTTAAAAAAAAAAAAAATTCTTGTTTCCCGCCATGGGCTTTAACTCCTTCTATAAAAGTAGGGAGTTCACTAACTTTGCATTCACCCTACTTCCTCAACTCATCACAGGCAACCAAGTAACATGGAGAGAATGGTTTCATGTACTCAGCCAACAAACACACTGAGCATTTTGTGGCGGCCGGCACTGCACTAGCACCCGCAGCCCAAACGTGAACAAGAGCAGTGCAAAGCTGGAGAGGTAACTGCATACATAACTAATTAGAACAGTGTGGGCTCAGCACTGCAAGAGAGTAACACTAAAGTGCTCACTGTGGCAGCACACACAGAGAATGTATGGAAAGACACACAGAGGACTAGCGTGGCCCCTGTGCAAGACAGTAACACTAAAGTATATGAGAACACATTTAACTGCATCAGAGTTCCAAATTTCCCTGGTGCCTGGGGCTGGATCTACCCGTGCAATGCTGGCATCCAGCAAACGGTGGAGCAAGAGGGTCAATGGGGAAGTAAGACATTTCTATGATAGCCAGCAAGGGGGAAACAGGGAGGGCGGTTTGGCCAAGCGCGAGGTAGATGAAGACAGTATGATCATAAAACAAGAACCCTGTGGCACATGCATCGGGTAGACGTGCAGAATCACACTCCTCTTGTATGTGTCTTCCTGTCAGCCCATCAGGGCACCCTCCAGACTTGGAGCATACCCACCACCGTGGCTGCACTGGCACGCATGCTGCTCCTCAAACACAGCAAGCCAGTCCAGGCCCCAGGCCCTTTGCACTTGCTATTCCATCTGTCAGCTTCCCAAGCCATCTCATCATTCAGCTCTTTGCTGAAATGCTGATTCTCAGAGCAGTCTTCCCTGACATCTTCATCTAAAAGAGTTCCCATACAACCTTCCCAGAGACTCTAACCTCTTATCCCTACCTTACTTTCTCCATAACATACAGCACTACCTCAAATTCTATTATGCTTACTGCCTCTCTCCCTCACTCAAGTGTAAACCACATGAAAATCAGAACTGTATCCCCCAGTTCCTGGCAGAGATATGAGCTCAATAAACATACTATCTATTAACACAATTAAGTCCTGAGATGCCAGGAAGCTAACATCTACGAATTAATGCTATAAAGAAAATTAAGACCCCAAACTGGTTACAACAGCCCCTGATTTCTAAGCCCTGGCCTCAGGAACAAATAATGATAAATGAATGGAGAGCATTTTTAAAATCTACATATAACCAGAGCGGAGAAATCACTGACACCCCCCCCCAAAATAGCCACTTATGCAAGCCAAATCTCTGAGATCTTTCTGAAAACCAGATATATTTAACTCCAAGCCAGTTCCCAGGCTTCCCACAAATCACTGCCACACAAGAGGAAACCACGTGAGAAGTTATGTTCTGCTCCTGAACACTTAAGCATTTTTATCAATATTATTTGCCAGTATAAATATTTTCCCCATAACTTTATATTTAAAATAGGAGTGCACCAAGCCGGGACTTAGAATGCGCAAAGGAAACAGTTCAGTCTGAGGTATTCATGACTTCAGTCATTCTCTCATAAAACAACAGATGAAATAAAACGTATGACATTCCCAAAGAGGGAGTTTCTCGTGTAATTCATCTTAAAATGCAATGTTCTGTCATCTCAAGTAACACTTACTGAAAGCAACCATCAATACTTTTTGTCAAAAGCCCGTACTCTGTGTAAAATGTTCCATCAATCTCTATTTACATAAAACACAAAACTTTCAGTGTGGTTCTAACACACAGCCATGAAGCGTCTCCATCTCCATTTTCACGCTCTGCTGAGAAATAATTTGACTGACACCAGAGAAATAAAGATGACCCTTACAGGAAAGCGTTCAGGATCGGAGAAGCTATAAAGGGACACATGTCCCACTGGAGAGGGGAACTTGTTGGTTTTCGTTTTTCAACCAGGAGATAGATACACCTTTCTCTGTAGGCAGGAATTCCATTCTGCCAGGAAATCCCCAGCAAGCTTGCAATGCACTTTGAGCAAGCAAATTTCACCAACAAGGAATGCAGGGACGGCACCCTGCTGCCTCTGAACTTGAGCAAGCAGGCGACACACACACCACTCCATTCCCAGCCCGAAACTTTAGCTCTCGGCCCTGAAGAATGTGAGTATCGCGCGAGGCTAGAAGAAGGTCATCGCCTGGGGATGTTTATAAAACACACAAATTAAGGTATTAGCCTTTCACCTTGAAGGTCCGGAGATCAAATCCCAGCTTAGGTAACAAAACACAAAGTCTCTGTGCCCGCCCCTTCCTATACTTGCTTGTTGAAAACATACAGACCCTTCCATCTGACCCAAGTTAGCTAAGGCCTCGATGAGAAAGCTAAGAAATTGCAGGTCAAAGCCAAGAAAAACTACTCAGTGCCCGTCCAAGACAGCTGAACTTCACGCCCGTGACCTTTTTTGGCCATTCTTCATCCTGTTGCTGTGGCTCAAACAGCCGAGGGTTGAGAATTATGGGAGGAACTGCACCGCCACGTACATCCTTTTCATTGCAAATGTAAAATCCATTAGGAAATCATTCAACCCCACTTAATTATGCCTTGCATTCTCTCTCTCAACCGGCTGAACACCCACTATGTGAAATGCTGTAGGCAGAGATGGGTGGGCAGATACAGCTTCAAGGAGGCTGTGGGGCTCAGCCCAACCACTCTGCTCCTCTGAAATTCAGTTTCTGCAGGTGGAAAATGAGACAGCCTAGCTAGACTGGTGTTTTTCAAAGTGTGTTCCGCCAAGCTCAGGGGACAGCACGATGCAACCAGCGTCTTACAGGAGAGCAAATGACCAATAAGCAGACAGGGTCGTGGTGCCCTCTTTGACACAGTGGTCTGCCTCGTAGGTACCTGTGCTACAGCTGACAATGCCAGGGCTCCATCTGCAGCCATGTCCTTTCCTCTGTTATGTTCCAGCCCTAATATTCTCCCACCGTACAACGGTGGTGAAACAGGAACACAGATCCGCACCGCAGCAGGCGTGGTGAGCTCTGAACTTCAAGGTTAAACAGGACAGACAGGAGAGTGACCTCGGTAAAGTTTCCATCAGGTGAACCATCAGAGCCCAAGCACAGGGCAGAAGTGGGACTGACAGGACATGGAAATGTGGTGATGCCCCACAGCAGAGGCTGGAGGGGGAGACGCTGCCTTCACGGGCTGGTGTGTTAGCATCCGCGACGGACCAACAAGGCTTTGAGTTAAATGTGAAAAATCCTTCCCAGAAAGTAAGGAACGTCGAGGGGAAAGCAAGCCCCTGCACACCTACTGTGAAGACAGGAAAGAGCCTCGTGGAAAGCCTGAGCTTTAAATTTCATTCTGCGCTTCTGTTCTTGCCCTGCATGTTAGGCCAGTGAGTTGCTGGAATGCTGGAGCTTTCATGTTTCCTAGCAATCCTGGGCTTAATCACCAGTGGTCAATGGGACACCTATTATTGGCCCAGGTTACGCTGGGTGCAACGGGGACATAATGAGGACATCGTCTTTGTCCTCAAAGTTCTCTGAGAGTTAGATGTCAAGAAAAGCCTGAATACACAGTCCCTTCCAGATCCAAAAAAGGCCACAATAAAAGAACGGCAAGTGGGGCCAATACGTGGCCGTGTTGCACAGTATGGGGTGGACCACAAGTACAATAAGGCTTCAGAGAAGGAGCAACTCATTAAAGACCTGGGAAGGTAGGAAAGGCCTGAAGCCATGCGGAGTGGCCCTGGATGGATGGTTCAGATTCAGGAAGGCAATGAGCAGGCGACACAGAACAAGCTGAGCAAGCAAGCAGCTCGGTGAGGCTGGCGTGACCAGAGCCAGAGGAGGGAGAGGGACAGAGGCCGGCACAGCTGGAGCAACGATAGGCCAGCAGGTCAGACGGTTGGGAGGAGCTTTACCTTCCATTGCACGGCGCACAGCATCATCCCATCCAGCTGCTCCAGGGACAGGGGAAAGCAACTGAAAGCCTCACCCAAATCACAGGTCACGTCAGTGCTGGAGACGGAGCCCAGCAGTGCTAATCCCTGCCTGCTCACCCAGTGCACCTTCCAGTAAACCCTCTGCCAAGCGCCACTTGTCCCTCCCAGGCCAGGGGCACCAGGAACCTGGGGGAGATCAGCTCTGTCTGTAGAGGTGAGCCCACCTGAACGTCACCCAAAGCACTCACTGGGCCCTTATCTGACTTTTCTTTGGGTACACTCAATTTTTTTCCTAACATTTCACCTGAAAACCTTTGAATGAACAAGTTCTCTTCAAGGACTATTTCAATTTCCCGTAAATTAGCTCATCTTCTCCCCAAAATGCACTGGCAACAGAACAGAGATTCAGGTGGGAAAACATATCAGGAAGAAAGTATCTAAATTCGAGTTTTCGTCTCACAGCAGGACCCACAACTTGAATAACAGGTCTCTAAAGTACCGCTGACAGCGCACTGCCTAAAAAGATGACCAGGGTGAAAAGGAACGAAAGGAAATGAAGGAAAGACAAAAGCCTAACCTGGAATGCTGGGGAGAAATTAGAGAACACAGAACATTTACCAAGCATTTAAAGCAGCTGGAAGAGCATTGATACTAATAAGCAAAACATAGTTTCAACCTTGGCGTGACTGTTCCAATCACAGAGAAAAGACACTGAAGAACACACCCAAGAAAGCAACAAGAATAAACAATTTCATGACAATTTCTAATTTTTCAAAGAATTATTTATGTTGAAAATCAGAGTTACAGAGAGAGAGAGGGAGAAACAGAGAAAGAGGATCTTCCATCCACTGGTTTACACCCCCAATGGCTGTAATGCCAGGGCTGGGCTGGGCCAAAGCCAGGAGCCTGGAACCCCCTCTGGATCTCCTACGTGGTTGGTAGGGGCTCAACCACTTGGGGCATTTTCTGCTGCTTTTTCCAGCCCATTATCAGGGAGCTGGATAAGAAGTGGAGCAGCCAGGACTGGAACTGGTGTCCATATGGGACACCAGCATCACAGGTGGCCACTCTATCTGCTATGCCACAATGCTGGCCACTCTAATTTTTTAAAAAAAGATTTTTTTTTTATTTATTTCAAAGGCAGAGTTACAAAGACAGAGGAAGAGACAGAGTCATCTGTCCTCTGATTCACTCCCCAAATGGCAGCAATGGTGGGGGCCAGGCTGGGCCAGGCTGAAGCCAGGAGCCTGGAACCCCAGCTGGGTGACAGGAGCCCAGGTACTTGGGCTATCTTCCACTGCTCTCTCAAGTACATTAAGAGGGAGCTGGATTGGAAGCGGAGCAGCCAGCCTAGGCTCCAACTGGTGCACTTATGGAGTAACAGTGTCACACACAGCAGTTTAACCCACTGTGCTCTGACAATAGCCCCAAACTTGTAATTTGTCAGATAAAAAGAAGTGCCAGGGTGGTGGCAGAGTGGTTAAAGCCACTGCCTGTGACACTGGCATTCTATACAGGCACCAGTTCAGGTCTGCTGTTCCAATTCTGATCCAGTTCCCTGCTAATGGCCTGGGAAAGCAATGGAGGATGGCCCAAATACCTGGGAAGCTGCCACCCACATGGGAGTCCTGAAGAAGCTCCTTGCTCTTGGCTTTGGCCTGGCCCAGCCCTGGCCATTGCAGAAGAAAAAAAAAAAAGAGGTTTTTCTTTTTGTGTTTTACCAAAAAGAGTAAAAGATTCTAAGATATGACCACAAATTATTTTTCTCCCATCAGCATAACCAAGACCCTTCAAGGTAGACAGAGATCAAATAAGTGTGTTTTTTATTTATTTTGGGTTTTGAATTTTGTTTTTGCTTTTTACTGATGGTTATGGGAGAGGAGAATCCTGGTGTATAATTTAAGCTCATGGTAACAAAAACTCCCCCTGAATCTGAGCCCCCTCCCGTTACTTAAGTGCAAACCCTAATTACGCTTAAAAGGGGAGGAAAAAAGAGACCTCATGCACATTTCCCTAAGAGTCCTATTTGGGGATTCAAAAATCTTCCCCCAGAAAGTCAAGCTTGAATTATTCAGCCATTCTGTGGCTTGAGTCAAGGTTTCACAGGGATTTTCTGCCCATCAACCATCGCAAGTTGGGGAGAAGACGACAGGTAAATCGTAACTCAGATGCTATTCTGGGGCTACGTACATGGCCTGACCAATGCTGAAACACAGCCTGCCCGCCAAGAACTCACACACTACTTGGAAAGCAGTCCTTCACTTAAAAGCTCAACAAACTACTCTCACCTTCCAATCTTACTCCTGAGGCTGACTCGAAACCTAGAACCTCCCCTCCTGGCAAAAATGCACACCTACTCCCATGCAAGAAAGCAAACACGAATTTCAAGAGGTGACTGATTCAGTGCAACAAGTTTTTCCAACGTTTTTTCCCTTGCTGGTTGCTGTAGGCACACCCTAAGACTGCACATCTTGTGACGGCCAGGGTCCACCACAGTTAACGGGTAACTGCCTGCCTTACAGTGCACTTTGCACCCAGTGGTCACTCAATTATTTGCTGGAGCAAGTCCAGGAGTCACAGGTTTGCATGATAAGCACCTCACAACTGGGCACCAGAACCTCTTCAAACGCTTACCCTCATGTACCTTAGCCTCTGCAAGGACCTAAACCAAGGCACAGGCACAGCAGGTCTGAGACGGGGATTATGAGATCGTGGGGCAACAGGCTGATGGTGGGAAAGGCCAAGAGGAGAAAGACTGAACCTGGGTTCCTTTTTTTTTTTTTTGACAGAATTATAGACAAAGAGAGAGAAACAGAGAGAAAGGTCTTCCTTCCGTTGGTTCACCCACCAAATGGCCACTACAGTTGGAACTGTGCCGATCCGCAGCCAGGAGCCAGGTGCTTCCCCCTGGTCTCCCATGCGGGTGCAGGCACTCAAGCACCTGGGCCATCCTCCACTGCCCTCCCGGGCCACAGCAGAGAGCTGGACTGGAAGAGTCCCATATGGACTAGAACCCGTGCCTATATGGGATGCTGGCGCCGCAGGCGGAGGATTAACCAAGTGAGCCACAGCGCCGGCCCTGAACCTGGGTTCTTAAGGACATCACCTGAGCTGCTGGATCAGCCTGCCCTGAAACGTACTCAAACTCCTGAGTAAATCTGAGGCCAGTTTTACTTGGGCTTCCTGTCACTTGCAATACACAGTCCTAGCACTACACTGCACCAACTGCAGGTGCATGTCACTAGAATGTCTGTCCTGTGGTTGCTTGATGATCCTTTCGGTCCACTCCAGATGCCATCTTCTCCAACACAGTGCTAATAACTTCTCCTTCCTCTGCACACTATAGAATACCATTAACTGTCCCCCGCTCATATCCTCCCCCAGTGACAGTGAGGGGCAGGGAGAGCTCACTCAGCAAACTCTACAATGGCCTGACCCAACCCTACTTATGTGGGACACCAGAGAACAAGCTTCCAAAACTTCCCACGTCAAGATTTTCCAGAAAGCAATGTCATCGTGTGGCGCAGATAAGAAAGCATGGCCGTGCAATGCCAGAAGCTATGACATGGACTTCATCCAAGCCAGCTGTCGAAATGGTAAATGTGAGTGGACCACAGCTTCTCTTACCCAGATGCGGAGAAACTTGATCAGAATGAACGCAAGATTTTCTTCCCAGGTTCATGATGCTTTGCCTGCTACATGGAACCAGCCCTGATTCTACTGCTGACACCCCCCAGAGTAGATCCAGAGAGCTCCTCTCCTAAATACCATCTCTTTCAGTTGGCTGTTGGTTTCCTCTTGGATGTAGTCTCACTACCACATGGCAGGAGGGATTTTAGCCAACTGCTAAGATGTCAGTTGAGATACTTGAATCCCACATTAGAATACCTGGGTTCAAAATCTGGCTCCAGCTTCCTGCCAGTGCAGCAGCAATGCCTTGAGTAGTCGGGTTCCTGCCTAGCTCTTAGCCTTGGTACCGGCCATTGTGGCACTTGGGGAGAGAGTAGAGCTCTCTCTCTCTCTCTCAACAGCTCCATACATAGATTTTAACAAATAATTAAAAGAGTGCATTTTAGGGGTTAATAAAGAGTGTCATGTGAACATCTGAGCGTTTACCTCAATTACCTTCTACATCATCAGACGCCCACTCCGCCCTTCACCACATCCTCCCCCTACAGTAGAAAGGATGTAGAGCATACGGTTCTGCAAGGGATTTCTGTTGCCACAAAATTATTAACCCAGTACATTTCTTTTGCTTTTTTTTTTATTTTTTCATTTATACAATAGGGAGAAAGAGACAAAGAGAGAATTCTTTTGCATTGGTTCATTCCTTCAAATGCCCACAATAGCCAGAACTGGGTCAGGCTTAAACCGAGAGCTGGGAGCGCAATCCTGGCAAGAAGCCAAATAATGGTGACGTCACTGCTGCCTCCAGGGTCTGCGTCAACAGGGAACGGTGGCGAGGAGTCAGGCACGGAGCCCCACACTCACGAGGGGATACTGGTGTCCAAACTGGCGTCTTAACCGCTGCACCAAACATTCGCCCCCACTGCTTTGCTACTTGTTACGGAGGCTTGCTGTGATCAATGAGTCACTCTGCACAGCCACAGTTATGTTCTGCCTTCCGTTCAAGCGTGTCTCTCTCATCACACAGTGAACCCATTAAGAGCAAGGACAGCATCTTTTCTTCAAATCCTGGCAGTGTCCAGAACCCAGCTTCATACAAAACACAGCAGTAACTCTCAAGTGTAAGTGCACATTGGGGTGAACCACCAAGCTCATTACATCTACAGCTTCCTGGGGTAGGCGTCTGGTACAACAGCTAGGCCATCGCTTGGAACACCTGCATCCGACAGCGAAGTTTCTGGGTTTGAATCCAACCTCCACTTCTGATTTTAACTTCCTGCCAATGCACACCCTGGGAGGCAGCAAGTGATTGTCCAAGCAGTTGGGTCCCTACCACCCACGTGGGAAGCTCACACTGAGTTCCAGGCTCCTAGCCTCAGCCTGGCCTAACCATGGCTATTGTAGATATTTGAGGAATGAACCAGCAGATGGAAGATCTCTTCTGTCTCTCTTTCTCTCTGTGTCTCCTTGCCTCTCAAATAAGTAAAAGAATAAAGTTAAAATAGGAAGGAAGGAAGGGAGGAAGGAAGGGAGGGAGGGAGAGAGAGGAAGGAAGGGGGAGAGGAGAAGGGGAGGGGAGGAGAGGGGAAGGGAGGGGGAGGGGAGGGGGAGGGGAAGGGGAGGGGACTAGGACTTTACTAAGCTTCAACCTTCTCAGATGTGAAATCAAGACAGTATCTCGCCCACAGGTGAGACAATGATGCAAGAAGACACACCCAGCACAGCCAAGGACAGCCCTCATTCAATCAACGTACACGTGTTCAAACTGCAGCTTTAGGCTGTCAACAACGTGGGTCCACAGTCACGGTGTCGACATACCGGCTTCAGAACGAGGGGTCCAGCTTCCAATGAAAGTACTCTGGAACACAGCATCCATGAAGGTCTGTCTCCGTGTCCCTCGAAGGCCCCGCCACTTCCCAGTCTCAGTGAGCCATTCCCTTAACCATGGGTCTGATGGCAGAGAATGCAAGGAAAAGTGGTTCCCACAGTGAAGGAGGGAGGCAGGCTGATTTCTGAGGCAAGATTCTCAAGAAGCTAAACACACACAGCTTGGCACAGCAACAGGAGCAAGCGATGGGGGGCATCTTTCACAGCCAGGAAACGTCGGTGGTGAGTCAGCAGGGGGTCAGCAGTGGGAAGGGGGCACAACACAGGTGCCTCGGTCTGGAAAGGCTCACAGGCATCCTGTCACTTGCCAACTGACCCAAGGTACTCTGTGCATTTCTTTAAATTCCTGCAAGGCTGTGATGCAATTAAAGATGCCTCCCTTGGGACACAGTCACTCCTACAGGGGACAGCACCAAGAACTCCCATCCATCATGGTTTTCATTACGAAAGAAGTACAAGATCACTGTAGAAAACCCGGGTAAATACTCATAATCCCACTGACATATTTTCTTCAAGGAACCAAGAGCTTTTTCCGGGTCTCCCACGTGGGTGTAGGGACCCAGGTGCTTGGGCCATCCTCTACTGCTTTCTCAGGCACATTAGCAGGGAGCCGGATTGGATGTGGAGCAGCTGGGACTCAAACCAGCACCATATGGGATGCCAGCACCTCAGGCAGAGGCTTAGCCTACTATACCACAGCACCTGCCCCCTGGTTCTCAGGATTCTGAAATGTCAGTCATGTCTGAGTCTATTTGGATGGTGGGCACTTGGCAGAATTTCCCAACATGGAACCTTCAGTTCCTGGAAATTTTCTTGAAATGATTCATTTACCATTTCTTCTCTTCCTTTTTCTCCAAAACTCTAATTTTACAGATGTTGAACCCCTTAAACAGTTCCTTTTTATTCTATTTGTCGTCTTCATCTCTGCTGATTTTATTCTACTTTCTAGGAAAATCTCTTCTCATAGATTCTTCATTTCTGCTTCATGATTTCCAAGGGCACTTTTCGGATTCACTGCATATGGTTTTTATGATATCCCATCCTTGTTTTGAGATGACATTATCTCCTTTTATCTGTCCAATGACATTAGTAATAGGTTTTTCATTTTGCATTTTCTTTTCCCAACTTGGTCCTGGGTTCCTCCAAGTCCCTTCCTCCCTTGTTCTCCTCCCCCTCTATAGGTTAGAGGCTTCACACATATACCAGGCAATTCTTAGATTTCTGCCCATATTTCTGGAAAACTAGAAACTGGCTGAAACCTCTGAAGATGAGAAGGGCTTGCCAACAGGGTCCTCACTCTGGGCCAATGGGCTGAAGAACTTCCAGGGAAGTACTTCCAGCTCTCCTGTGGTCAGTGCTTTCCCAACCCTCTGCTTTTGGGGTGAAAAACTGGCCAGGAGCCAAGTCTCTGAAGAACACTGGGTGGGAATGAGGAATATTTCAAAACCTTCAACGTATATGCTCAGCACACATGCTCAATTAATATATTAAATTACCTGTTGTCTGTGGTAAAACCCTACTCTCAACAGGGTAAGGGGTTCCCAAGTCCAGAGATGCTGTGGCTTACTCTCTCCACACAAGAAACCTCCAGCTTTTCTGCAGAGTGGCTATGAGGAGTCACAGGCTACATGGAGTGAGAGAGGGCAGCTGGGCTTGTGCAGCCCCCAAGGTACTTTCCTGACCGACTCCCAGGCCTTGGAAGAATTACACAGCATAAATCAGATCAATTCTCAGCTTTCTCCGTTGCTGTCCAGATAGGGTCCAATTTTCCACATTTACTTTCCAGCTTGCAAAACTCTATTGTTCACATGAAAGGATGCTCAACATCACTGATCCCTGGGGAAACGTAAATCAAAACCACTTCATATCCTCTAAGACGGCTGTAATTTTTAAAATTTTACAAAAAAATAACAACAAGGAAGGGGAGAAATTGGGACTTACTTGTGCTGATGGGAATGAAAAATGTACTGCCATTATAGAAAATAGTTTGCCAATTCCATAATAAATTATACATACAGTGACTATATGACCCATCGATTTCACTCTTAGGTACACATCCAAAAATACTGAAAACAGGTGTTCAAACAAAAAGCTACACGTGGATTTTCACAATAGTGGCATTCTTCATAATAACTAATAACAACTAAAATGTGGCAACAAGCCACTTAACTGATAAATGGATAAACAAGATGTGGTATATCCTTACAACAGAATAGTACTCAGTACCAAAAAGGAATGCAGCACTGATAAATGCCACACCACAGCTGAGCCTTAAATTATCCTGAGCGAATGACGCCAGACACAAAGGCCACGCGGTGTACAATTCTATGTATGCAATCTTCCCAAGACCAGCAAGTTCATAAATACAGAAAGCAGACCAGTGACTGTCGGGGCTAGACAGAAGGGAAAGTGGGGATGGATGCTTAATGGGCATAGGATGTCCTTTCGGGATCATGAAAATTTTCTGGAAGCAGACAGAGGTGGTGACTGTACAATACTGTGAACGCACTAAATGCCACTCCAGTTTATACTTTAAAACAATCAAGGTGTCCTATTTCAGTTATGTATATTTTATCACAATTTTAAAATACGTATGTTGCTTAAGCTTTCATTCTCACGGTCTCTATCCTACAAGTTTGTGGATTTGTTAATCTTTTCACTCTGGTTTCAGAAATCAGAGGGAAACAAAAGATTCCTGGGGTCCATCTGCCATTCTCACCTGGAAGGCTAGCCACACCACGTTCAACATGTGAAATCAACAAATATTTATCAGGAGTGATAGAAAATACAAAACATTATGAGCTGCCTTCAATCAAGTTGGGATTATTTTTAAAAACCTAATGAAAGAAAACCGCAGTATGCAATACATAACTGTGGCCAGCGTGGTTCAGACGCATGTGCCGTGGAGATCAAAGAAAAGGGCGATAGCTGTGGGTATTAAGAAAAGCTTTACGATAAACACTGAATGGAGCTGGGTAAGAAACACCCTAACCGAAGGTTATTCTAGCAAGTAGTATCAAGAATGCAATAAACAGAAAACACAAATATACTTAAGGTATGGTCAAGAGACCAGCTGGGCCAGTTAGTAGTGAACTGCATGACAGAAAAAAACAGGCTGAGGTTAGGATACAATGAGTCAATTTGCCCTTTTCTCAAAAAAATAAAAATAAAAATAAACAACCTCTCAGCCCAATCTTATCGAGACAGGTTAAATGGTTTGCATTAGCTAACCCATTCAGAACCCCTCCATAATAGAGTTAACCCTGGGCATTCCCACTATACAATCCAGAATATAAACGGGAGATCATCATAAACTGCATACTTTAACCAGCCACAGAACTCCAGGCTCTTTGGCACAACAGACCCGGGCACCCATCCCTGTCCAAACTTCTACCCAAGAGGCACTCATGAGCCACAACGACCTCTCATCCATCAGTCTCACTCAGCTCTGCGGCTGAGAGCAAGTATTGCCTGCTGACTGCTCACAAAGGAACTCAGAAGACCTAAAATGCTCTCATCCCAATAAAACAAGGCTATCGGAGAATCCGAATAAGGAACCACACAGTCACGGGTGAGCTGCAGAAGACCCAGTGATAGCCAGGAAGGAAGGCGAAGTCATCCCCCAAATCCGTGTCTCCTGCTCTGGACTTTGCAGTTACACAGCCTGTGAGTCCTCACCACTGTTCTTGCCAATTTATGTCGGGTTTTGCTAGCTTGAATCTAAAGGGTCCTAATTGACACACATCCCCACTGTGCCCAATCATCTTGCACCTAGAAGTTTCTTCAAAGGACTGGTGCTGTGGCGCAGTGGGTTAAGCCACTGTCTGCAGTGCCAGCATCCCAGATGGGTGCCAGTTCGAGTCCTTGCTGCTCTGCTTCCAAGCCAGTTCCCTGCTAATGCTCCTGGGAAAGCAGCAGAAGGTGGCCCAAGCTCTTGGGCCCCTGCACCCACACAGAAGACCTAGAAGAAGCTCCTGGCTTCAGCCTGGCCCAGCCCCAACCACTGCAGCCATTTGGGGAGTGAACCAGCGGGTAGAAGATCTCTCTCTCTCTCTCTCTCTGCCCCTACCCTATAACTCTGACTTTCAAATAAATAAATATTAAAAAAAAAAAAAGTTGCTTCGAACCGTGCTTTCATTTAGTTCAGTTAGTCTATCTCTCGCTGGAGATCTTCGTATTCCCATGCATCAGCTTGTACATCTCAAGCATTTAAACATCAGATGGAAAAACAATGAGCACATGGATGCATGGACAGATGGATACAGATGGAAGGATGGATCAAAATTAAGAAAAGGAAGATGCAGAAAATTAGACCAAAGCAACTACTCAAACTTCTGCCTTTTTGTTCATTCTTCTGTCTCCCAGCTCCAAGCTCTCTGTCCTGACTCCCTTGGAACAAGATTTCCAATAGGTCTGCATGTGATCACCACAGAAGCCACAGTGAAAAGGAACAAGTCATCTACAGAGTTATCTGAGAGTCAGTTAAATCACTTTCCACTTCCTACCCCAATAGCCCTGGGAGAGGGACAAAGGAGCAAGTGATGCCCAGCGTCTTGAGAGCCCATGAATGCCAGGCTGTGTACTAGGCTCTGTGCAAATGCTCCATCCCACAATCATCGCCCCAATCCTGACTTACAGGCTGCTGCTTCTCATCACACAGATGAGTAATCCCAAGACTCAGAGAAGTCAAAACCCTTCCCCAAGGTCATACAGCCAGACAGAGACCAGATTCAAATTTGGATGTCTATCTCCACAACCTACCACATTCCAAGGTCAATTACCCACCCAGATAACTGCCTACAGGATGTGGGTTGAGGGCCCCAAAAAAGATCACTGTCTCCCAAAATGCTCCTTCTTCTCAACCCAGAAATGTTCCCAATAGAAATTCATTTTATGGGCTGTTTATTTGAGACTCATCTATCACCTTCATAATAATAATTTATATTTGCATTAACCCCTAATTAGTCATAAGCGCTTTCACATAAATCCTTTTGTTTGATCTTCACAGCAGTCCTATAAAACTGATATGTTATTCCCATAATGCAGATGAGAAAACTGGGGCTCAGAGAGGTCAAGAGGCCTAGCCAAAGCAAAACTGTTGGCTGCTTACATCCAAACTCTTCCAACTCTAGGATGCTTCTTTCGCATGCAAATTAACAGTGTGGGAGGGGGGTGAAGACCCACATTTGGTCAGACACAGTGGGGAATGGTGCCTCATGAAGGGGCAGAGACAAGCAAAGAGGTTGGAAAGAAACTAAGAACCTAAGATCAAATAGGCTACAGGCAGACTCTGCCTCTCACGCCACCTGCCCCGGGTTCCCACTGGACTGATACCCAGGTACCGTGACTCAAGGAGCCCCAGCTCTCACTCGGGGACAGGATGAGTTACGTCTCCTTTCCCAACATAATTATTACAACTCCCTCACTTAGTTTCACAAGGGTACCGATTTAGATGACAAATCACGTGGCCACTTCCACTGTCACCCACCAGAGAAAGAGATCAGGGCAGTCCCTGCACACACACAGCTTCCAGCCAAGTGTATTTCAAGCCAGCCCCAGTGAGTCCTCTTGCTTCCCGCTTCGGATAAAATGAAGCAGCGGCTTCACGGTACCCCACACGGAGGCCCCCGGGCAGCGGAACTGGGCACCTGCGGAACAAGCTCTCTTTTTCCTCTGGCAACTACTGGGTGTTCCCAAAGTTCAGCAGGAGCCCCACATGAGCCACTGTGTCATCATGAGAGGATCTGAAACAAGGATATCCTAGATGTGACCCAGGCTCTTCCTGGAGGACACAGTGCACAGGCACAAGCGGGAGAGCCAGGGGTAGCAGCAACAGCTTCCCAGAGTGCATCACCGGACAGCTCCTGGAGCCCTTTCCTCCACACTGCCCCCCTCGCTCTCCTGCCCCCTCTGGAGGAGGGCAGGCAAGCAGGTTCAGCGCCAGTTTATAGGGGAGGAGACTGAAGCTCACAGAAAGCAAAGGGCCATCTTCTACTGCTTTCCCAGGCCAGAAGCAGAGAGAAGGATCAGAAAAGGAGCAGCCAAGACACAAACTGTTGTCCATATGGGATGCTGGCACGATGCAGGCAGAGGCTCAGCCCACTACCCCACAGCGCCAGCCCCACCACCACCACCACTTCTAACCTACCTACCCACTTATGTGACAGCTCAAATACTTGGGTCTCTTCCATCCATGTGGGAGACTTGGGTTGAGTTTCTGGCTCCTGGCTATAGCCTTACCCAGCTGTAGCTGTTACAGGCATTTGGAAAATAAACCAGCAGATGGAAGACCTATCTCTCTCTCTCTCTCCCAACCTCCCCCCCTTTCTTTCTCTTTCTCTCTCTCATTCTGTCTCTCCCTCTCTGTCACTATGCCTTTCAAATAAATTACTTAAAACTTTAAAAAAAGAAAAAAAGGACGGCCTAGGACTTGGGGCTCCTGGCACTCAGGTCTCTGCCACTCAGGGGCTGGGGCAATGAGACAGCGTGCTTCACCTCTCTGTACATCTGTTTCCTTCTGTCTAAAACAAGGAGATTGCTGTCAATGAGAGGTGGTAAGCTGGTGTCAAGAGGCTGTACCCACTGCCCCAGATCTCCTAAAATGGACCACACAGCATTTTTTGTCATTTTTTATTATTTTTTTCAAGATTTACTTATTTATTTGAAAATAAGAATTACAGAAAGAGAGAGAGAGAGAGAGAACGAGAGAGAAAATCTTCCTTCTACTGGTTCACTCCCCAAAAGGCTACAATGGCCAGGGCTGGGCCAGGCCAAAGCCAGAAAGCAGGAGCTTCAACCCTTTACCTATGTGGGTGCAGAGGGCAAAGCACTTGGGCCATCTTCCACTGCTTTCCCAGGGACATTAGCCAAGGAGCTGGATTGGAAGTGGGGCAGTCAGGACTCCAATCAATGCCTATATAGGATGCTGGCATCGCAGGCAGCAGCTTAATCCACTGTGCCACACATCCGCCTAAGCAAATATTTTCTACTACAGGTCACTATCTCTAATCTGAAAACCCAAATGCAAAATACTTCAAAATCGAAAATGTTTTAACACTGACATGATACCTTCAGGTCGAAAATTCCACACCTGATCTCATCTGATGGGGTGCAGTCAAAACACAGGCGCACTGAAAAATGTTATACAGTGTTACCTTCAAGCTATATGTACAAGGTGTATATGAAACACAAATGAACTTTATGTTTAGACTTGGGTCCTATCCCCAGGACACCTCATTATGTGGAAATCAATTTAAAAAAAAAATCCAAAATCAGAAACACTTGTGGTCTCACACATTTCACACTGGCTCACAAAGACTTCTGATGCTTTTTCCTGATACCCACAAGTTCTCCAGTGGCCTCACGGTGGCCTGGGCACCCTCCCAGGATCCTTCTCAGGCCCAGCCACTCTGTCCCCACACACATGGTAGACAGCGGGGGGCAGGGCCATCTGATCCAATCCCTCAAATTCTGACTTAAGCCAGGAAAACGTGACATTTGGAGAACAGCCTTTGGGGTCTGGTTGTTAGGTTAAAAAAAAAGAAGAAAATAAAAGTGGTAGGAAATTCCCTTGGGAACCAAGGAGAAAGAAAAACAATAGGTAGAGTAGGGTTTACCATAGATAGAAGCAAAACCTGGCTGCATAGCTGATGTTGCGGAAAACAAAGAATCCCCCCAAAACAGGAATAAATCCTCACTCTCTGGTTCTAAGCACAGGTAGCGTGATTCCAGAAGTCCAGGAAGACTGCTAAGAAAACCTCCAGGAGGGGCCCGCACTGTGGTACAGCAGGTTAATGCCCTGGCCTGAAGCGCCAGCATCCCACATGCCCGCCGGTTCGAGACCCAGCTGATCCACTTCCGATCCAGATCTCTGCTATGGCCTGGGAAAGCAGTGGAACATGGCCCAAGTCCTTGGGCCCCTGCACCCGTGTGGGAGACCCGGAAAAAATTCCTGGTTCCTGGCTCCTGGCTTCGGATTGGTGCATCTCTGGCCATTGCGGCCAATTGCGGAGTGAACCATCAGATGGAAGACCTCTCTCTCTCTCTCTCTCTCTCTCTCTGTAACTCTTTCAAATAAATAAATAAATCTTAAAAAAAAAAAAAAAAAAAAAAAGCAAGCAAGCAAGCAAGCAAGCAAACCTCCAGGAGATGCGTGACCCTCCTTCCGGTCTGATGTCTCCCTGCCCTCCCTTACAAACAACGCCCTCCCCTGCAGGTGGCGTCCTCCTCACCCCTGGACCCGGTGACAAGTCCACTGTACCTGGCAGACGAGATCTGGCTGCTGTGATTAAACAGAAGGTCTTGACATGGAGAGATGGCCCAGGATTACTCAAGTGGGCCCAATGCAATCACGAGGTCCTTGTCAAAAGGGACACAGACAGAAAAGAAGATGGGACAACAGAAACAGAGCTGGGGGTGACCCAGGGCCAAGGGCCAGGGAAGGCGAGCAGCCTCCAGAAGCCAGAAAGGAAGGGGACGGGGGACGGTTGTCCACTGGAGCCCACGGGAGGAACGCAGCCAGCCGGCTCCGACTTTGGCCCAGCGATTCGCACTCTAGAATTCCAAGATGATACACGTCTGCTGTTGGATGCCACTGAGTTGGCGGTCCTCTGTCACAGCACCTGGCATTCCCAAGGTCCCCAGCCAGATCCCAACACAGGAAGAGAGAATCATCTGTGCCCTCAGGACGTGTCGATCAGAAAGAAATCAACGTGCACATAAGAGAAACAGAGACAGCAAGTGTACACACGAGGGACCCTAGAAGGGCAAGCAATAGGAAGCCCGCAGTCTCACACGGGAATGCAGAAAAGAAAAAAATCTTAACAAGCCGAAGCCTTTCACATCTGCCAGGAAGCACCTTCAAGCACCTTCAGCCCAGAGACCCTGGTGCAAGGTTTTAACAAGCAACTTTCTGGAACGGAAACTTCTGGAACAGAAAACCAACTTCAATTCTAATTTCCCGGCCGGCGCTGCAGCTCACTAGGCTAATCCTCCACCTTGCGGCGCCAGCACACCGGGTTCTAGTCCCGGTTGGGGCGCCAGATTCTGTCCCGGTTGCCCCTCTTCCAGGCCAGCTCTCTGCTGTGGCCAGGGAGTGCAGTGGAGGATGGCCCAAGTGCTTGGGCCCTGCACCCCATGGGAGACCAGGAGAAGCATCTGGCTCCTGCCATCGGATCAGCGCGGTGCGCTGGCCACAGTGCACCAGCCATGGCGGCCATTGGAGGGTGAACCAACGGCAAAGGAAGACCTTTCTCTCTGTCTCTCTCTCTCACTGTCCACTCTGCCTGTCAAAAAAAAAAAAATTCTAATTTCCCAGTTAAGTGAATTTGATTCCCCCAACAGGGCGGGAATTCAACTCCCCCAAATCAAGAAAACCCCCTTTCCCACAGAACAAATGCTACAGTAAAGATGAAACATGGCTGTGATGCGACAGCATGGTGGTGTAGCAGTTAATCTGCCTGCTTCGCTTCCCATCCAGCTTCCTGCTAATGGCCTGGAAAAAGCAGCAGAAGACGGCCTGTGCCATCAATGTGGGAGACCCGGATGAAGCCCCTGGCTTCAGTCTGCCCCAGCCCTGGCCACTGTAGCCATCTGGAGAGCAAACCAGCAAATGGTTCTCTCCTTCTGTCTCTGCCTCTCTGTAACTCTTTCAAATAAATAAATAAATCTTTAAAAAAAAAAAAAGTGGCTGTGTCAAGGCCTCATCACTCTTGCTGCAAACCATCCGTCAAATTGTGCTTAACAAGCAGGGCAAATTCATGAGAAGCATCAGTTTTGTGCAAGCCCTCATGCCCACACAGGTACATTTCCAGTGAGCTGTGCTTGACACAAAGCGCACACACACGTACTTCCTCAATTTCCTGGCAACGCACTCCCGTTTAAATACACAACCATGAAGCACAGAGAGAGAGATGCAAATCATCTCTGCGGCTGCTCCTCCTCTTCCTTCCCCTCCTCCTCCTCCTCCTTTTCCTATTTTGTTCTCTTAGGAATTCAAACTCAAACCAGTTCTGCTCCTTCCAGCTGCCAATTTCCAAGAACCATCACGACTCACTCACATCCCTCCTCAAAGCAACAGCACATAAATCAGCAACAGAAACTCACTCCACTTCAAACCAGCCAGTTCCAGCATTAATAGTGCCTGTGTTGTCAATAAGCCGATATTTGACTTCCCCTGTTTTTATGTGTATTTTTTTTTATAAATTACTAATGCTTTTCCTGGAGCAAAATGGCCAAAGTAATACTCTACACAGAGCCATACCCTGTCCGCAGGAGATGGGGGTGGGGGGCAGCTCAAACAGAAGCAAGGAGAGAGAGGTCTGAGCTGTGGACCTACAGGCAGCTCTGCTTCCCCCATGTGTCCGCCCACCAGGAGGCTGTCTGTGTGAAGTGCAAGTCACAGCTTCAAGGAGCCACTGGGCTCTGCTTTGCCTATCGTCCAGGGACAACAGTGGGGATGCACGTGTCCCAACACACAGAAGGGCAGGTGACATGAGGCTGGCACTGGTTTCACTGCCAATTGAGAACCTACTGCGAACCAGGAATGCGACTGAACTCTCCAAGGCTTTAGGAAAGCGATGAAGTTCCAGGAGCACCAGACCTCCCTTTCCCCTAATTTCACAGCAAGCCAGTAGACAGCGCTTGCTGGAGGGGATGAAAGAGTTGCACCATTCACAGATGGAAGGACTGAAGGTCAAGTTCTAGTTCTCTCCTTGCTCAGAAGCCAGAAGACCTGGTTCTCTCCCAGGGGAAGCTCGAAATCTAGTAGCTCTGAAACGCAAACGGCCTCCCGTGAAAAGGATGCCCATGTGTCTTGAGCTGTCTGTCTTAAAGGAAACTATATCCCTCTGATTGCTGGTTCAACAGCCAGCTTGCAACATGGTGAGAACCGTTCCATGGACAGATATCATCGGTCATCTCGGGACAAGGAAACAGCCACTGCCCCAAGCTGGCTCACTTTGCAAAGAGACATATGGAGCCCTACCTTCCAAATGTCACAGGTTCATGGCAGGGAAGCACAAGAGAGCGCCTGAGAGATGGTCCTGTGCAGTCCCTCAGTTCCTGGCTCAGGGAACGGGGGCTCGGGGCCCACAGCAGTCCTATGAGGTTGAGGGTAAAGTCACTACCAGAAGCCGGGCTTCCCCACGCCTCCTGTATTTGATTCTCACTCCGCAGCACATGAGGCTCGAGAAGTCACTAGCAGACACTGGAGAAGAAGGAAAGAGAGGCTTTCATCACAGTGCCTGCTGCCTCGCTTCTCCTCCAGACATCCGGTTAGGTCATGAGCAGGTGTGGAGTCGGACTTTTGAGGGATGTGTGTAGCTGTTGCAAAAGAGGAGGAGGGGCCAGTACTGAGGTGTATCAGGTAAAGCCTCCGCCTGCAGTGCCAGTATCCCACGTGGGTGCCAATTCTAGTCCTGGGTGTTCCACTTCTGATCCAGCTCTCTGCTATGGCCTGGGAAAGCAGTAGAAGATGGCCCAAGTCCTTGGGCCCCTGCACCCTCATGGGAGGCCCAGAAGAAGCTCCTGGCTCCTGGCTTTGGATCAGCTCAGCTCTGGCCATTGAGGCCGTCTGGGGAGTGAACCAGCAGATGGAAGACCTCTCTGTCTCTCCCTCTCTCCCTCCCTCTCTCCCTCCCTCTCTCCTTTCTTCCCTCCCTCCCTCCCTCCCTCTCTCTCTCTCTCTCTCTCTCTCTCCACCTTTGCCTCTGCCTCTGCCTCTCTGTAACTCTACCTTTCAAATAAATAAATAAATCTTAAAAAAAAAAAAAAAAGGAGGAGCCGCTCTCTACCCAGGGGCCAGGCCCTCCCTGGCACTAGCGTCTGGCTCCTCCCACTGACTTCCCTACGTCCCCTACTCCTGATGTCTCCTCCTCTCCCAGCACTGCCACTGGCCCATCGCCCTCCCTTCCTGCAAGAACTGCCACATACCACCCACCAGTTGGCCAAGAGAGGTTTGCAACTTCATGGGACCTCCACAGGCACAGAGAGGGTCCTCTCAGAGCTGTGGTCCATGTCACCTATGAAAATCTCAGACACTCTTAGGAATTCAGCACAAAGCCTCTTCCTCCTCTCTCATAGCCTCAGGTGTTTAATAAGGGTCACCAGCACCTCTTATTCTCTGACATAATCAAAGCAACCAACATGTCAAGAACAAGCCACAGCCCAAAACCACGGTATGTGTGAGATGCAGGGGCTCACAAACACCCATGCTTCCCTTCACCTCCCAAGCCCAGGAACTCTTTGCAGCCTTATTCAGAGCCACCTAGTTCCGTCATCAGAAATTCTTCCATCCTTTTTTCTTCTACTTGGGCCTAAGCTTCTGAAATGCCTATGCCAGCATGGGCCTCTCCTTTCCTCTGCTTTCTGCCAGGTCACCCTGTGGTGATGAGACGAAGACTCAAATACCCAAGTGAGTGGAAAGGGAGGAAGGGCAAGGCTGATTTTAAAAACCAAAGGAAAAACTAAAAGTTCAGTGAAGACTTCAAACTGAACATCCCAAAACCAACCTTGCACCTCCATGGCACCAGGGGCCCTGCCAGGCTTTTCCGTTTTCCTTCTCTCATCAGCACTCAGGACACCCATCTCCCTGCTCCAGAGAACAAATGGGCTCTGCTGATAGGCGCTACACCAGTCACACCATCAGCAGGACTCACACCGCCCGGGGGGCCTCAAGACCAGAGCTGTGAGCTCCCTCACTGGTAGGGTGGCAAAGCAGAGTGACGAAGGGTTGGGGGCTAGCGACCCCCTCGTTTTACAGGTAGAGAAACCATGGCCAGAGAGCGGACGTGGCTGGCCCAGTGTCCCCTGACCAAAAGAAAAGCAAGTGATAAATGAAGAGAAGGAAAACAGTGAAGGGGAAAATACGACCAACCTCAAAGAAACACGGACACTGCTTCCAGCCACCAACCAAGACCTGCCACCCTTCTAGGGTCCAGGTGCATTTCTAAAATGCTCTCAACCTGGAAGAAATACACAGCAAAACCCAGCAGCGACAGAGCTCAGAGACACTCGTCTGGCACGAAAGCTCTGGGACCTCAGAGATCCAGAGGCTCACAGCCCAGTGCCCCTTCTAGTCGGAATTCTAAGAGCACTAAATAATATGCACAGGCCACACAATACAAAAACACATGTCCGGGGGAACAGAGAATGTTAACTGATGACAAGAGTTTTGAGTTTAATATTCACTGGCTCTTCTTTCTTGTCTCTCCTCCTGGTAAAATTCCTGAAATGTTTTTGTGTTCAATACATACATGTGTACATGCACACACAAGCACACACGTAAGGCCCGACCTCTTCAGCCATGTGGGCTTCTCTTCCCAGGCAACAATGCATCATGGGGCGGGAGGCAGTGGGGGAGTCAGCCAGGGATGGTGGCCCATGAGGGCCAACAAAGAGCAGCCAAGCACTCCCACTGTCACCACCCAAAAACACCTGGTCGAGTCTGATTAATGAGATGAGGACCAGATGCTAAAAAATGTCTGCTAAATTAAAAAGCAAAAAAAGAGAAGAAAAGAAACAAAGAGAAAAGGAAAGGAAACCAGAAGCCTGCTTTAATACACTATACTTTGTTATCTGTGACATCTGTCAACCACAGATAACAGAATCAAGCCCATGGCATCGAAGATGTGTGCCAGGTGAAAAAACACCATAAAGACATAATAAAAAGTTCCACCAGCGCCATAAACTGCTGGGGGACCGCTCTAAGGGCAGAGCGGTAAATTCTCGGCGTTTCCCAAATTGGAGGGCACTGACACATATGCAAATCTATTTGTGTGGGTAACCGAGGGTAACAATCGTGCCCTGAGCACAGCGGCCTCCTCCAGACGCTGCTGGGGAGCCCCCGACAGGCACACGCACACAGCACACACTGTAGGAATTCAATTTGGAAACCATCATCTAGAGCAGAGGAGAACAGGAAAGTCATATTGCTATAATGCTTAGATTATCAATCATCTTGACAGTTTATTGGCTTTATCACCACACATACCATTAAAATGATGTCTGGCCCAGACTGTCAGGAGCAAACATTAAACAGACCAGGATTAAAAAGCAGATCCCAAACAGCACTCCAGTCAAGTTTCCCTTCCACTCTGAAATTAGTTAGAGCTGACTAAGAAACTGGCGCTAGACTTTGAAGAAATATACAGCCCAAAAGGCTGCGAGTCAACCCAGACCTGACGAGCTGATAGGTAATGTCATGTTATGGCAAATCTGACTCTCCCGCGGTTGATTTATCACGCACTCTGTGCAACAGAAAGATTGCTAATGGTGGAAGGGAGCAGGGACGGGGGAAGAAAACGCCACCGTAATTTGCCTCTTCTTGCAACCGAGGGCTTGCATCAAAAGGGCCCCGGCAGCTCCCCGAAGAGGGCCACGCATGCTAATAAATGCACAGTGCCGCGCAAACATATTAACACGACCCCCACCAAGGTTATTAAAGTAATTCTACAGATTCCGAGGAACTGAACAGACAGCGGAAGAGACATTCATAATTCAAGAGCTGGAGACAGCGCAAGAGTTAGGAACCCTATACGTTTTTAAAATGCTTCGGCATGTGTCACTTTGGCAAGGAAACCTCCACACAATTAAAACCATGCTAGCACATCAATAGGGCTCAATTGAGGGCTGTGTACCTGCCTTTTACTGGGCCAGGGCTTTATAGATGCCTCGGGAAGAAAGGGGAAATGGGAAATTCACTGGTAATTAAAGGGAACCTTCTGTGCCTAAGGAAAAATGGTGGCGTTTCTAAAATACATATAAAAGAAACACGTTTTCAACTCTCTGCCAAGGGCTTGGCTTTCCCGCAGTCCCCAGAACTGTTTGGTGTTTGTTTGGAAGTTACAGAGCTATTCTGTTTGTGATTAATGGTTTGCTTTCCAGTACAAATAAGTCATTAAGAAGGGTGGGGCGGGGCAGAGAGAGAGAGAACTGACAGGGCAGGAGCTGGCCCTGAAACAATGCAAGTAAGAAATTCATACCACATTTTTCAACATCTCACTCCCTTGCTTATTTACCCAAGTGGGGTCTCACGCCTTCCCGCCGGGTGACTGCAGCGTGACCCTTTAAAGGGGAAAGAAAGCTCACTGGGACACATACGCCGCCTCTCCGCTTGTTGCTTTTCCCCAGGTGGGCTTGTGGGTACCTTGGGAATGCAGCGAACGTGTTAATTAATTAATGAATCAGAAAAAGCTCTGGAGCTTGCTAGGACAAGAGCAGTACAGCACTTGAAGGAAGTGCTTCTGCAGCAGAACTTCTGCCTTCTTGGGTGTCCCTGACTGCCAAGGTCTGCCCCTGCAGGCCACGCCGCCACCGTGCTGTGCTGCTTCCAACCAGCCACGCACGCGCAAGCTCTGCCGCCCTGCATTGCTGGCTGTACATTAGGAGCCAGGCTGACAACAATGCCCTTGACCTTGGAGTCATTCCCTGCCCAAGACGTCAGTGCTGGGGACCGTCGGGGTGGGTGGGGGTGGGAGATGGTACCAGAACACAAGGTTGTGCATGGCCTAGCCAGCCATGCATCTTACACCCGAATGAGCATCTGGGCTTGGGAAACCAGGCACGATCCACCCACATCACAAGCGTGCACACACTCAACAACACCCTATACAACAGCCAGGGAGGAACTAACTCGCAGGGAGGGCAGCCAGCACCCTAGCACCTCCCACCACAAACTTCCGCCGCCATCAGCTCAGGCTCAGGTTTCCAAAGCTGCTCCGCTATCACCGAGCAGGGACCCTCCCACAGCTCCCCCTCCCAACAGGGCCCCTGCCAGGAAATAGAATCTCCACTTTCACACTCCAAGACATCAAGGCACCAGGAGCTCCAGGGGGAGAGATGTAGCCACCAGGCAGTGAGATCCATCATCAGGATCCCTGGGCACCAGCCAAGGGGCCAACATGGCAATGAACCTAGCAGCACACGTGGGACTTCCAGAGCACGGCCTGTGTGTCCACGGAGGCTACAGGCCAGCCACTGGAGGACGGGGCGGGCTTCTCACCAAGCAGACGGACAGCTCCGGGGCTGGCTCATTCCCTCAGCCCCTGGGCTCCTGCCGGGCAGAGATCACATCTCACTGAGCTGCTGAAAAACACCAAGGAACATGAATGGAAGCAGAAATGATTGGCGGATCCCTTTGGAATGGAACAGTAACACAAGCATGGGGCAAAAAGGCTGAAGTCAACGTTAGCTGGTGTGGAAATCCCAGTTTTGCTGCCAGTTTGGGCCATTCTTCCAGCCGGGGCCTGGACGAAATCAGAGCATGGTGCAGCAGGAAGCTGGATAAGCTTGTGATCTTGCCCTGAGCTCCAGTACTCCCCATCACACCCTCGCAGTGTCGCTGTCACGCTGTGCCGAGTGCCCCGGCTTGGGGGTTATCGCAGCCAGGTTGTAATCAGAGAGGCAAGTCAGGACAGGACGTGTGCGTACAGGGAAGACTACTGGGAAATAAGAGGACTGAGGCTCGGTCTGGCCTAGTCCAGCTATGTTTCACTGCCTTCTACCTTGGAGATGGCTCTGAGCCCCACAACGGTCACCCAAACACCGAGTCCACTGGGGTTTTTCTTGCTGTCAGATGTAAGAAACAAGAAAAGGGTGTGTGTGTGTGCATGTGCGCATCCTCATTTTC